TGCCTTTGAATAGCTCTGTAGCCCCAACCAGGTCACTCCATTTCCTGGAGCCTCAAGTTCTACACCTGAAAGCCAGCGTGGTGAGCCCTGCACCACAGCGCTGATGAGAAGGGCCCAGCACAGCCCTACCTATTTGGGTTTAACAGCCCGAATTTTGTTGATTGAATGTCTTCCTTCAAGATCTAACTCAGAACTTTGTCCTCATAAATGTGGACAGTAGGTGGGGGGATGGGGTAACTGGGTGATGGGCATTAAGGAGGGCACATGATGTGATGAGCACTGGGTGTTATATGCAACTGATGATTAACTGAACTCTACATCTGAAACTAATGATTTGCTATATGTTAGGTAATTAAATTTAAATTAAAAAAAAATGTGGACCCAGGGTTTCCAGTCTCCTGTTCCAAAAACATTGAATACATGTAGGAAACTGAAAATAAATGTATGTATTCAATATATATATATATACAAGAAACAAAATAAATGTGTGTGTGTTTGTATATATATATAGAGAGAGAGAGTGAGCGAGAGAGAGATACAGATATACACCATCATTTCAGAGGTGGTCTGAAATGAATGTGTTCAATGCTTGTTATAGACACACACACAGAGTTTTATTTGTATTCATATTTTTCACCTTAATATGACTGTGGGCCTCTAGCAGGCAGGGACCAAATCTCATTTCTTTTGGAAATCTTTCCTCTCATACCCAATTCCAGTTCTTGCTTACTCTTGGGTATCAATAGATACTTAACAAATAACTGTGCTTGTCCAGTGAGAGGGAATGGGACTGATTTTAAGTGGTGAGAAAAAATGCTGGGTCCATTCATTCCATAGCAGTGCAATTTCCGGATAATAAAAGAATGGGAAAAAAGTACCTACCAACCATTAGGTCTGGGGCCCTTTAGTAGAAGGCTTTTAAAATTCACTGGACTTTTCTAGGAAAGGATGCATCAGGGATGCTCAGAAATGAGCACTTCTTAGACCTGCAGGAGTCAGGGGGTTAAAGGGTTCTTCCTGCCTAGGGGGTTCCAGAGATGGACAGAGAGAGACTTTACCATTTCCCTTCTTCCTCCTTCTTCCTTTCTTCTTTTAAACTATTTTTGTCCTAAAATGGTCACAGCAGTTGATACCTAATGTAGAACTTGGGAAATTCAGAAACGTGTGAAGAAGCTGATGATAGGCTTCACCCATAATCCCACCCTGCAGAGGCTCGAGCTTTCTCTTTATCTGAATACACCAGGCAGGGTGTGGTCCAACCCCTTGTTCAGCAGTCTCCATTTACTTTGCAAAGTAACAGCCGCAAGCCCATGACTGTCTCCTCCCTCCCTTCTGGAAGTCTCAGGGATCGGTGAGCTTGGGTTCCGACTTCAAGTCTAAGGCTTGGAGCGGATGCTGTGCTGAGGGGCTGGGGGCCTGGGGCTTTCCAAAGCTGGCACTACCCCGGGGGGAGGCCATGCCCATGGCGGTGGTGGGAGTAGCCAGGAGCAACCATTTGTAACATCTTTCCATTTTGGGTACTCAGGGTGCTCAGCCTGTCTGTTCCTGTTTGGACACCTCCCACTGAAGGAGCAGGAGATAGGCACCTGTCTTAGGTGCACATGGAGCTTAAACAGCTTCTAACAAAAAGTGACACAACATGGACATCTGTTACTCTCCTTCTAGGCCTTCTTTTCCTTTTATAGCTGCTAGGAATGACCCATAGAAATACGATTTTATGCTCCAGTGATTACATATACCTGGTCTTCAGTGGGACAGGGAGGAAAATGACTTGTGACCGAGTGCATCTTTTATGATTTGCAATCCCCAGCTGCTCTCCCAGGAGGGTGAATCCCAGCTAGAGTATTTCCTGAGTAGGGGTCAAGGGTGTAAGGATGCAAACTGGAGCTACTGAGAGGGAGCCACAGGGCTCCCCTGAGCAAAGAGGTGAGTGAAGGTGGTGTGACAGCCAAAGGGACAGGGGTGTGGGTGGGAGGCTTCCAGGAGAGGACAACCTGAACGAAAGGGAGAAGGAAAAGAGGAAAGTTCTCCAGGCAGAGATCAGCATGGACAAAGGCACAGAGATAGGAACCAGCCTGGTGCCTTCCAGGTCCTGGGAATAGCCCCGGAACACCCATGAGGGGCAGGGAAGGTGGGGGCAGGCACTGAGATACTCTCAGGGCTTTGTGTGCCAGCTAAGAGCCTGGCTCTCATTCACCTGGGTGGCAGTCCTCAAGGGGAAGGAGGTGGGTAAAGAGAAAAGGCACCCCGGTTCTCTGACTGGGGATGGATGGGTTTGAATTTCCAGCATGGAGCATGTGTTTGGTTTGAGAAAGCAAATTCAGAATTAAAACTTTAAATTTGATAAATGTAAGAAGGATACCTGTCATAATCTAAATCTGACTTGAATTTTGGCTAGAGGAGCAGGAATTAGGGAAAAAAGTTCAGGAATACTGCCCCAGGTGATGGGAGCCACAGGTGGGTTTTAGCAGGGAGGTGACAGACATGGGTCAGATTTGCACTTTTAGAAAGTGACTCTGGCCACTGATTGGGTGGTGGGTATGAGAGAGGTAAGACTGTGCAAAGACTATGAAAGGGATAGAGAGATGGCAGCATGACTCAGGGCCTTGTGCCCTGGGTAGGGAGATATTTAGTGGACAGAAAACCGGAGAACTTGGTGACAGAGAAGGTGCACAGGGTGAGAAAAGGAGGAGTCGGGGCTACGTTCTGCTGGCTAGGTTGGGGTCAGGGAGGAGGGGCTGGCTGGGGGAGGGAGGTTCTGGTGGTTGGTTCGGTGTTGCTTGGTTCTGACAAGTTAGTTTTAAAGCGACTGTGGGACATCTGAATGAACAAAGGTCCTTGAGCTTCTTGTGACTTGTCCACATACTCTAGTGGGCGACTATCTAGGGCTGGGATCCAGTGTCCTAACTCTTCCCACCTTGCAGCCCAGCTTGACTGGACATGGAGACAAGGAACAGGTGGCTCTGAGATGTCATGCCTCTGAGGAGGTGTCAAGCACCCTGGGGGTGGGTGCTGGTGTTCTTATGATATGGAGTACCCCTTGCTTCTCAGCTTTGCCCCAGGGTGTGAATGGTTGGAAGGCAGGCTCTCAAAACACATGCTGGGGAAACCAAAGGCCAAACGGATGGTGATGCTGGCCTCAACACTGCATCAGGCCCAGGCTCAGAGTTGTCACACCAGGGTCCCCTGAGGTCCATCCAGGGTGGCAACCCTGCCCCAGTTGCTAGATCCTCCTGAGTGCCCCTGGCATCATGCCTCATTCTCATTAAGACTTGCTCATCTGGTGCCTGCCTGGCCCTGCTCTGCCTGACTGTGCAATCAGAGATCTGATAGTTTTGGTACCACAGGGGAATGTTTTACAACATTTGCCTATGATACCTCTCAGACGTATTTTCATTTTAATCAGGGGATAATACTATAACCCAAGGAATGAGCCTCTAATAGTGGAATTTCAACACCAACAGAGATTGGGATAGGAATTATTGCGTTCAGTGTGTACTTATCTGGGGGACAGATGCCTGTCGTCTTACGTGAGTGGCACAGGCAAAAAATTAGTTCTTTCGGTGGAAACAAGAAATAGCTCAGACTCTGAAAATCCAAACCTTAGCAGGTTATGACCACAAGACAACCTCATACCTCTGTGGCATGGGCTGCTGGGGAAGGGGAGAAGCTTATCCTTCAGGTAAGACAACTTATAAGGCTGCGGATTAGTCCTTAGGGGATATCAGTGGCCACCCCTCAGAAGAACAGCATCCAGGGATATGTCAGTAAACCCTGTGCTAGAGCTAGCCAGCCCTGGAAGGGAGGGCTCCCTTTCACGTTGGTGGGCATTGGACAGAAGCAGCATAAGGTGGTGCCTGTGACCCTGTTCTAGCTAAAAATAAGACTAATGGGAGGAGGACCCCAGCTGGCAGCTGGACGTGCAGAGCATCAAGACTAGGTTATGGAAGCAACTGCCAGGTCCCTAACTAGAGCCATGAGCATCAGGATTGGGCTCAGGGCCCATCACAGCACTGAAATGCTGAGCCAAGAGTACCCTGGCTGGGCTGAGAAGGAAGCTGTGCTTTAGTGGGCATGCAGTGTCCTGGCCTCCCTCAGCCACACCATACCTACCAAGATGGATTCTCTCTGCCCCTCAATGGTAAGTTAAGTCTTTCCAGATGCCCTGCTGTAGCCAGCGCTGGGTCAGGGTTGGAGCTGAACTGGCCCATAAGGAAGGACAGGCAGGGACTGGCCCCAGAGCCATGTGGGAATAGGAGTTGGTGTTGGGGATGCTGCCAGCCCTGGGCGAGACAAGCATCCTTACTCTGAGCAACAGAGTGCCCAAGTGAAAATGGGAAACCATCACTGTGGGTTTTGTTTGTTTAAACATTGTGATGACTAACCCTTTGAAGACCTTGATCCCCAGGATTTTTAGAGTAGTAACTCATCCTTGTTTGTAAGATACTAATGCTTGGTGAAATTGTCTTGAATCCAATTCATGGCCTGTGTACCTCCCAAACCCTTCCACTGTCCTGGGGCATGATGTTCTTCAGGCTTCTTCTGCTTCTTTGACGGCATCCGAAATTCTCTCATACCAGTGTCTGTGAGTTGAGTAGCTATTAGTGAAGTATTGGGGGGTGGTATCAGGAAGGGGTCACAATGCCTTCCAGCCTGGCAGCCAGGACCCCTCCGGGCTCACGCAGGAGTTCCACATCCTGCTCCCTCCACTGTGCAGAGCAGCTTCTCTCCTCTGGTCCTCACAGTCAGCACTCGGTGAAGAGATTTTCCAATTCCTCTCTTTGAAAAAAATTTTGGTCCCACTCATAAAGATAATGAAGCTTTCTTTACCTTTTCATAGACATAATTTGCTTTTAAAATAAAATTTCATTTCTAGTTCATTTTTAAGAATTTCTCCACAGTCCTTACAATAAATCAGCACCTAATGGTACTGCAAAAACAGGGTAAGGAGTCCTGGTGGTGCAGACAAGACCCTGATGTTTGTTGCTTGTGTTTTTCAGCTTTCATCCAGATGTTTGAAATCCTGTAGATGAGGTCGGCGTCCCTGAGAACGAAGCAGGGTGCACGGGTCGAGCACTGAGAAGCAGCAGCCTGGGACAAGGCTGGTCCAGGCTCCTGGTAATTTGTTGGCAGTTTTTGGTGGTGATAGGGGGTGAGGCACACTTTTTGGTTGGGTCCGTCTCACCAGGATGAGCTTCCAGTCACCAGCAGGATTGGGGGAGTGGAGTGGAGTGGAGTGGAGGAGTGCAGATCTGGAGCCAGAGATAGCCCTGGTTGAGATCCTGACTCCACTGTTATCTGTGTGATCATGGGCAAGTTAGCTAACCTCTCTGCGATTCAGTTGATCTGTAAAATAGTGACATTAACATCTGCCCCTATGGAGTGGTCCTGGGAATGAAAATAAATCATGAAAAGAAGTTGCCCAGTACTGTTCCGTCTCCAATTCTCTGACGCAAACTGGCAAACTGGGTGTCCTACAGGTCAGCTCAGTTCCGACACTATGCTGAGTTAAAGGACACACAGGTTAACTGCCACAAGTTGAAGGGCAAGGTCACCAATAAACTGCCCCCCAGTTCAGAAGCCACAAGCCAGCCCCAGGCCACCACACCTCTGACTCACTTAGCTATATATTTGAGGGTTCCCATGCTGCCCTTTAATCCCTAATTCACTATAACAACTCACAGAACTCAAGGAAAGTGCTGTAATTGTGACTACAGTTTTATTACAAAGGATTTAACTCAGGAACAGCCAAATGGAAGCAATGCATAGGGCAGGGTGTGGGGAGGGTGGGGGATTGGTGCAGAGCTTCTGTGCCCCTCCTTATAGAACCTGGGTGCATCACCATCCCAGCATACCAATCAGGAAACTCCTCCAAGCCTTGATGTCCAGAGATTTTTAATGGGGGGCTTTATTACTATTAGGCATAATGGGTTTAAATCATCTGCCACTTGACTGAACTCAGTCTCCAGCCCTCCTCCCTCCTGTCCTCCATGGTTGGGGGTGGGGCTGAAGTTCCAACCCTCTAATCATGTGCTTGGTCTTTCTTGGTGGCCAGTCCTTCCCTTGAAACATCTAAGGGCCCACCATAAATCACCTCATTAGCATAAATTCAGGTTTGATGAAATGAGCTCATCATGAATAACAAAAGACCCTCCCAATGTTTTTTGGATATTTTAGAAATCCCGAGGCTTTTTGAAGTTCTGTGCTGGGAATGGGGGCAAAAGGCCAGATATATTCTTTATTTTGTCACACCTGGCCCATCAAGCAGTGACCTCTGATGGTCACCACCCTGCTTATCCTCTTTGTTGTGATCTCCAAGTTGACATGTTCCCAGTATCGGTCAGAGAACTGGTCATTCTTGTCAGTCTTTTTCTGGATGTTCTTTTTGTTAATATAGCTCAAGATTGAATTAGTTCTTTGGACTACAACATATAATTACAGTTATTGAGTATGCACCTGTTTACAGTTGAACCATGAGCCTCTCATTACTCGAGCTCCTAATGCTATAATGGTTCTAGCCCCTAAATGACACATAATAAGAGCAAATGCTTAATAGCACTTGATATACGCCAGGCACTGTTTTAAATGCTTCACATACATTAACTCATCTAAATCCTCACAACAGCCTAAAGAGGTAAATAGTTTGATCCCCATTTTATACATGGGGAAACTGGGGCACAAAGAGGTTAAGTAACTTGCTCTACAAGATCACACAGCTAATAAGTGGCGTAGTTAAGACTGGAACTCATCATCTTCTTGTTCCAGAGTCCATGCTTTTAACCACTAAGCCACACTGCACATAACTTTGGTCACCTGTGCAACATTTTGGAAGGAAAAGAAGGAGCACAAAAGGATGCCTCTTGTTCACAAAGTCAAAGGGTGGTTTTCTCTGGCCCCCATTGTCACAGTGAGAGAGTCAGGGCTTCCATTTTCTACTCCATTCCCAACAGAGCTTCTCTGGAGTAACCTGGGGATGAGCTCTGAGAAGTGAAGGCAGGCCTGGGGGGCATGGTAGTTGGGCTCCTGCCCAGCAGGACCTGAGCTTTTTTGTTCCTCGTGCTTCAGGGAGGGAAATGCTACTTCAAGCCTTCACAGACCCATTCCTGGGAGTGCAGCCATTCCAAGAGGAAGGAAAGAGGGTCAGCCTTTTCCACCTAAATAGAAAGGATTTAGGCTAGGAAGGTTCAGTACTGGGCTGTGCTGACCAAAGTGATCCTAATCCCAGAGAAGCTGAGGGTTCAGGTGGCTCTGGAGCTGGTGGGACCTGGAGTCATAAGGAACACAGGGAGCTCATCTCCATGTGCATATCCATGGTACTCATTGGGAGGTTGCTTGTTTCATTTTTAAAATAACATCAAAGATTGGGGCTTCCAAAGTTCTAAAGAGAATTAAAACAGGAGGGGCAATGCCTCTGGAAAAATGTCTGTCTTTGCTGTCTGCTCAGGAGAGTCTGGGTGGTGACTTCATGTCTGCATAGCTCTGATGCACTCCCATTGTCTTTGTCCTTGCAATACCTTATTACTGCTTATTATTGCAGGGGTGAGGCTGTCTGAGAACATGGTGGAGGTGAGGTATTTTTAACTCGCTCCACGCACGTGGGATTGACTTGAAACTACAAGGCAAATGTCAGTAGGTCATGTGTGTTCTTTGCAGTTGCCCATTTGGTATTTGGCTTGAGGGAGAGGCCCCAGGGGTGGGGAGACAAGGATGCAGGAAGAAGGTCTCTTGCTCCAGGAAACTCAGGTCCTCTATCCTTCATTTTCTACACGAATCTGTCTCACTCCATATAGTGTAGAGCTGGAAGGGGGCCCAGAGTTTATTCTGTTCACTCCCTCATTTAGAGATGGACAAAATGAGACCCAAAGAGGGAAATTACTACTTGGCCAAGCCCATGAAGCTAAAGAATGACAGAGTGAGGGTGATACTGTAGACTCTGACTCTAGTCCAGAGCTAATTCCACTGGAAACATCCCTGATGGACTCAATAACTCTTTCTCTGCTTAGATGAAGAATCTGGCTTGAATGCTACTAAGTACAATTTCAACCATTCTAGCAATCTGCCAAATCTGTTTCAGATCTTTCTTTAGAGAATTTTTTTTTGCTTTTGGGTTTGTTTGGGTTTTTTTTGGCTGCCACTTCCAGAAGATGCCTCCTCCATACTCTGTCACTCACAGGCAAATATTTCATCTACAGGCCCAGCAGGCATGGTGCGGGTTGGGGGAGATCTGGTGAGGGCACTCATAAGGAAATAATTAATTAGTGAAAGAATCAAGATGAGATGTCGTGGTTTGGCAAACTTGCAAAAGCAGTAATGGTGGCATCTGGAGCCTCCTGCTGTCCCAGGTCAGATGTATGGTGGCAGTTGGTGACTGGAGTTGGAGGATGGGGCTTGGACAGCCATGGGAAATGACACCTGGCAATGGTGTTAGATGATGAGGTTTGTGCCATTTTGGCTGGCTTGCTAAATGGCCAACATCTGGAATGGATGCCTTCTATTATGTGGAACAACTATTAACATCTAGCCAGTGGTATTTCAACTCTGGCTGCCTATTGGAATCACCCGGGGAGCGTTTAAAAATCCTGATGTCCATAGCTGATTTCCAAGATCTATAAAGAACTTCTCAAACTCAACACCCAAAAAACAAATAATCAAGTCAAAAAATGGGCAGAAGATATGAAAAGACACTTCTCAAAAGAAGACATACAAATGGCTAACAGACACATGAAAAAATGTTCATCATCATTAGGCATCAGGGAAATTCAAATCAAAACCACAGTGAGATACCACCTTACACCAGTTAGAATGGTAAAAATTGACAAGGCAAGAAACAATAAAAGTTGGAGAGGTTGTGGAGAAAGGGGAACCCTCTTACACTGTTGGTGGGAATGCAAGTTGGTACAGCCACTTTGGAAAACAGTGTGGAGGTTCCTCAAAAAGTTAAAAATAGAGCTACCCTATGACCCAGGAATTACACTACTGGGTATTTACCACAAAAATACAGATGTAGTGAAAAGAAGAGCCATATGCACCCCAGTGTTCATAGCAGCAATGTCCTCAATAGCCAAACTGTGGAAAGAGCCAAGATGCCCTTCGACAGACGAATGGATGAAGATGTGGTCCATATATACAATGGAATGTTACTCAGCCATCAGAAAGGATGAATACCCAACTTTTACATCAACATGGATGGGACTGGAAGAGATTATGCTAAGTGAAATAAGTCAAGCAGAGAAAGTCAATTATCATATGGTTTCACTTATTTGTGGAACATAAGGAATAGCATGGAGGACGTTAGGAGAAGGAAGGGAAAAATGAAGGGGGGGAATCAGAGGGGGAGATGAATCATGAGAGACTATGGACTCCAAGAAACAAACTGAGGGTTTTAGAGGGCAGGGGTGTGGGGGGATGGGCTAGCCCAGTGATGGGTATTAAAGAGGGCACATATTGCATGCAGCACAGTGTGTTATACACAAACAGTGAATCATTGGAACACTACATCAAAAAGTAATGATGTACTGTATGGTGACTACATAACAAAAGAAAAAAAAAGAAACACATAAAAATCCTGATGTTCAGATCACACCCCAGACTAATAACATTAAAATCCCTGACAGCAGTATTTTTTAAAGTTCCCCAGTGGATTCCAATATGCACCCAAGTTTAAGAACCACTACTCTAGGCCAAGGGTTCAGGCTGTCAGCTGAGGGAAGTAGTACATGTGCCCTCCCTTGAATTTGCTATTTGCTCTTTCCCAAAAGGGGAAAAATAAGGAAGGAAGGAAGGAAGGAAGGAAGGAAGGAAGGAAGGAAGGAAGGAAGGAAGGAAGGAAGGGAGGGAGGGAGGGAGGGAGGGAGGGAGGGAGGGAGGGAGGTAAGGGAGGGAGGGAGGGAGGAAGGGAAGGGAAGGACAGGGAAGGGAAGGGAGGGGCAGGGAAGGGAGGGGAGGAAGGAAGGAAAGAAGGTAGGTAGGTAGGTAGGTAGGTAGGTAGGTAGGTAGGAAGGAAAAATGAAAGAAGAGGGAAAGGAAGAAAGATCACCTGAGTGTTCTGACCTGATGGGGTAGATTCCCACTTCTCCCATTACCTAGTGCTTCACCCACCTGCCCCACTCAGAGGAACTATAAGGTGGAGGGTAGAATCTCGACAGAAGATGGAAGAAGATGTTGCAGACAGCTCACCAACAACAAGACTATACTGGCTGTCAGCAAGGCCTCTTGCATAATGAACTGCTGGCTGTAAGGACAGTCAAGGTTTAGGCTAACAGAATGGGCCAAGGGGGAAGAACAGATAAGGACAAGGAGGCAGGAGTGCTCTAAGAGAACAAGAGAGCCTTCCACCTCCTCGTGGAATGCAAATGTGAGCTCATGGAGGTAAAGTGAGGGAGGGCAGGTTAAAGATGAAAGCCAGGTATCCCGATCCCCTGTAATGCTCTTTTGTTGGCATCTCTCTACTGGTGTTCAAAAGCTAATTCTTGTTCGTCAAGGCACTTGCCTTCCTTTGCTGAGAAAGGGATCACACAGCAGGGAGAAGGCTAGGGCTCTGTAAGGCTGCCCTGGGTATTGAAGGGGCATAACCCAGATTTGAAGGCCTAGTGATACTGACACACAAAGGGAGACTGGTGTGGTCAAAGCCCCATAGCTGGGAGGTGGAGGCTGGAGCTGCAGCCTGCTTCTTCAGTAAGGTTCCAGTATAGTAAGAGAGGACATTCCTTCGTTTACCATCAGGCCGTGGGGGGAAAAAAGCATGCTTGAGTAGAAAAAATAGGGGTCCCAGCCCAACTCTCCAAAGGCTGCCCTAATCCTCATTCCAGGGGTCAGGACTAGATATAGTACATTAGTAAGTACTAATTCCCCATGCGTGGCTTTACACTACGTAGGTATGCATCACAAAAATGCTCCAAAATGTATGCAGATCATGCTTGCACCAGAGGAACTGTCCACTTCCACCCCGGTGTGGCAGTTTAAGTGTAGCTGGTTAGTCAGGGAAGGGTGGTGGACCCCTGGGCGTGTGCCAGATTTTTGCTAGGTCCGATGATGTATTAGCGCCCCCTATCGATGGGCAGCTGCCGGCACCCTGCCCTCCAAACCGCGGCTTGGCTTACACCCTCCGGGGAATAGCCGCCTCCCGCGTGAATCCAACGAATCCAGCCCCTCTGCTGTAGGAAACTGTACTCGGACTGGGAGCTCCCTCTTCCCTTCTCTGTAGGCTTCCAGAAGCGGATTATAAGCCCACCAGGACAATGAGTGAAGAGACTGTCCCCGAGGCTGCCTCGCCGCCGCCGCCCCCGCAAGGGCAGCAGTATCTGGACCGCTTTTCTGAGGACGACCCTGAGTACCTGCGCCTCCGCAGCCGCGCGGCGGACCTGCGGCAGGACTTCAACCTGATGGAGCAGAAGAAGCGCGTCACCATGATCCTGGAGAGCCCCGTGAGTGGGGTCCGCCCCAGGCGGGCGGGAGAGGAGGAGGAGGAGGAGGGGAAGGGAGCGGAGCAGGCGGCGCCGCCCATTCATCTGGCTGAACCTGAAAGATAAATAACTCCTCTTTCATTTGCTCAGTGTTGTAGCAATTTTAAGCCCGCTGAGCAAACCGGCCTGGCCCTGTGGGTATTTCATTCTCTCCCTGGTCACTGGTAGAGGGCAAAAACCTGGTTTATGTGCAGGCGCTTTGGCTTGGTACAGGGAGGGGGTGGGTCTGAGAGACCGGAGCCCTGCCTCAGTTTCCAGGCTTCCCCAAAAGTTGTAACAATGAACTAACAGGGATATTCCTGTAAACAGGAGGCCAGCTGGGAACGCCACGTGGAAGGCTTGGGGCCCCCATTTTTGAGCACCACAAAGAACTCCCTGTCGGGACAATAAGGTTGACAGGCATGGGGTAGAGGTGAAGAGGGTCTGGAAGCCCCAGAAGGTGGCCAGAGTGAAGGATACAGAGGAATATGGGCCAGGGCAGGAAGGGCAAGTCATGATCACCCTACCATGGCCCCAGACTTGAGGTCAGTTGGTACCTGCGTGGCATGGACACAGAGCTCATCCTTGCAGCAAGTGGTGCATTGAGAAGAACAAAGCATGGGCCTAATGGACCACGGAAGTAGGAGGGTGATGGAGGCCCTGGGTGAGGAGAGGAAGAGCGGTGTGGAAGGAATTTGAGGGTGGTAGAGCTGGGGATCCTCAGGAAACAGTGCATGATCCCAGGGGCTGGGAAGCTCAGGCTGGGGCTGGGAAGCTCAGGCTGGAGCTGGCATCTCCAGGTGCCTGCCAGGAGGGGCTCTGCCTCAGTCCCCACTGGGCTTTGGAGAGACAGGACACATGGGTGGGCTGTGTGTGACCCTGGCTGAGTGCACACCGTGAATGCTCAGGCTTCACAAAGGAGCACTGAGGTAATGGGCCTGAGGTCTTGGTGACAGGTGATGCTGTGGAGGAAGCCTGGAGGAATATGGCAGGGACTAAAAGCTTTGGGATGATGGGAAAACTCCAGTGTGGGACTAGGAGAGATGACAGAGTTAGTACCAACCCAGGTTTCGGGGCCTGAATGGATAGAACTTTATTCGCAGGCAAGAAATGGGACAAAAGGAGTTCATGTTTCTTCTGTCCTTTTATAGATTGACCAACACATGAGGGGCTCCCTGTTTCCTCCTGAGTGTTCCCTGCTGCCACCTGGTGGACAGTCCTGCCTTATTTATGGTCTGAAAAGCCAGGCTTAGCAGGGCATTAGAAGTGGAAGTGACAGGGAGGACAGCAAATCCTTCAGTACCCGAGGAAACTGAGGTCCAGAAGGGCCATAGGCATGGCTGATGGACAGGGAGGATGGCACACATTTTCGTCCAGTTTTGCTTTTTAAAAGGTCTCTTAATTACTAAAGTGAAGCCCTGTCCTGTCTGATGGCCCAGGGGTGGGGGTGGGGGGCGTTGAGGGGAGTTGGAAGTGGGAGGGACGTCTTGACTATCACTTAGACCCAGGAAGGACCTGGACAAAGGGGACACAACAGCAGACATCTTTTTGCTTCTCAAACAGTAGTTTGGGGAGGCTCCTGAGGTCTCACTAGAATTCCCAATGTCCTCTGAGGCCCAGGGATCCCATGTGTGGCCCTGGCCTAGCTGACCCAGGGGATTGGGGTGGGCTCTTGGAAGAGGGGTCCTCAGTCCCCCCATGAGACCCACTGGGGGGACCAGCACCTTGGGGCCTGCTTCAGTCTTTCAGGGAGGAACTGGAAGGCCTCATCCAGGAGCAGATGAAGAAGGGGAACAACTCCTCCAACATCTGGGCCCTGCGGCAGATCGCGGACTTCATGGCCAGCACCTCCCACGCAGTCTTCCCAGCATCTTCCATGAGTACGTGTGGAGCTGGGGAGCTGCCAGGAGCAGGGGAGGAGGAAGTGAGGTGGGGAAGAGAGGGTGGGTTGCCAGGCTACAGAGTGAGCAGTGCAGCTGAGTTAGCCGACCCGGGGTGGCAGCCAAAGAGGTACCTGGCTCTGCTTCTGAGGCTGCTGGATTTAAAGATCCACAGGAGAATTACTCCTGGTGCCCAGAAATAGAAGGGGGATGGTGACCTACGGGAAAACCTCTTTCTGGCTCTGTTGGGGGAAGGAACGGGATGACAGGGTGTCACTGTTCTGAGAGGCAGGGCAACCTCTATGTGACTCCTCCATCCCCCTTCATAAGTGGGTTAGCATGAAGGGAGGAGCTTTGCAACTCCAAGTCTCTTACATGGCCTCTGCTTGAGGACCCAGGAGTGGAGAATGCGGATTCCGCTCCCTGTTACCCTAGCTGTGGATATAGAACTGAAGGAAAATCCTCGTGGGCTAGCAGCAGCTCCTGACTCAGGCTGCTCTTTGCTCAACCCCGTGGAGCCTCTCCCTTGCAGCTGGAGTGGTAGGGAGGGGAGGAGGCCGTTGAATCCAGTATCTTGGTGCCCCACCGGACAGGCCAACCTGACTCCATAGACAAGGACCACAAGCAGCCAGGCCTGGGCATGAAACCCTCTTCCTGGGTTCTGAAGTTCTGCCCACAACCTTGAAGAAATAAACATCAAGGGCGCCTGGGTGGCTCAGTTGGTTAAGCGACTGCCTTCGGCTCAGGTCATGATCCTGGAGTCCCAGGATCGAGTCCCGCATCGGGCTCCCTGCTCGGCAGGGAGCCTGCTTCTCCCTCTGACCCTCCCCCCTCTCATGTGCTCTCTCTCTCTCATTCTCTCTGTCTCAAATAAATAAATAAAATCTTTAAAAAAAAAAAAAAGAAACATCAAAAAATACTTTCCCTCAACAACATAAATACAGGATTATGATGAAAAATTAGGGAAATAAGAAAAGGAAATTAAAATTAATGTACTGTGTTCTTACAACTAAGAAATGACTATTTTCAATATTTTGGTATGAATCCTTCCAGCCTTTTTCTCTTAACATATATAAATTAGGAAAACAAAAATGGAATCATATTATACGTGCAAGTTTGATAGCTTTAACATATCTTGACTAATTTTTCACATAATAAAACATGATTCTGTAATATGATGTTTGGTGAAAGTATGCTATTCTATGGCATGACTGAATATGCCATAATTTATTTTTAGACTTTTAAGTTGTTTACAGCTTTTTGCTCTTATGAACAACAGTGCCATCAATCCTTTCATTTATTCTATGACTATTTTCTAAAGCCAAATTACTGGAAATAAAATTGCTACATTAAAGTATTTGCATGTTTTAAAGACATTAATGCATAATGCCAAATTACCATGGAGAAAGATGGAACCAATTTACATTCCCACCAGCAATGCAAAAAGTGCCCTTTTCCTCCACCTTGATCTGTAGTATGTATTATACCATTCGTTTCATCCTCCTGATTTGACAGGTGATAAATAGTACTTTATTTGTGTTTTAATGTGCATTTGTTTGATCACTAACAACTTTGAATGTATTTTCATATACACGTTGGGATGATTTTTTTTTTTGTAGTAAATTGCCTATCACATTCCTTGCCAATTTTCCTACTCACATATCCTTTTCTTAAAAATTTTCAAATCTTTATAAAATGGGGCTATTTCCCTCTTATCTATCAAATACATTGCAATTTTTTCCAGTTTTTCCTTTGCCTTTTTTGTTCATGATGTTTTTATCTTGTAGAACTCTTTAATTTCCATGCAACTGAATCCAGTGTTACTTTCCTTTGTGTGTTCCTCTTTTGCTTGCACACTCAGAAATACCTTCCCCATGTTTTATCATCCCATGGGACAAATACCCTTAATTATTTTTAAAAATAAGAATTATTTTGTCAAGTTCCCCCACCCCATACCTCAAAAATTCCCTTTTGGGATTTTGATTGGGATTATATTAAATAAATAGATTAATTTGGTGGAGAATTTATAAATTTACAATTTTATATTAGAATATAAGCTTCATGGGGGAAAAGATATTTGTACGTTTTGTTCACTGCTGTATCCTAGAATAGTGTCTTGGACTTAGAAAAGTAGCTGGGTTCTAGAGGCGAGGGGGGTGGGAGGATGGGTTAGCCTGGTGATGGGTATTAAAGAGGGCATGTTCTGCATGGAGCACTGGGTGTTATGCACAAACAATGAATCATGGAACACTACATCAAAAACTAATGATGTGAGGGCGCCTGGGTGGCTCAGTTGGTTAAGCGACTGCCTTCGGCTCAGGTCATGATCCTGGAGTCCCTGGATCGAGTCCCGCATCGGGCTCCCTGCTCGGCGGGGAGCCTGCTTCTCCCTCTGACCCTCCCCCCTCTCATGTGCTCTCTCTCTCTCATTCTCTCTGTCCCAAATAAATAAATAAAATCTTTAAAAAAAAAAACTAATGATGTAATGTATGGTGATTAACATAATAAAAAATTTTAAAAAATAGAAAAAGAAAATGAAAATCTCAAAAAAAAAAAAAAAAGCAGTCACTATGGGACACCTGGGTGGAAAAAAAAAAAGAAAAGAAAAGTAGCTGGCACAGTATAGGTGTTTTAAAAATATTCACACAAATGAATTTTAAGTCTGTTCAGAAATTATGTATGTCTTCTATTTATTTGCTTTATTTGCTTTTTTTAAAAAAATGTCCATTAGAGAAGGTTAGTAGTTATTTTCTTATAGTCCCTACTAATTTCTTGTTAAGTTTATCCTGGAAATTTTATATAACTTTGTTATTTCATTTTATTTTTTATTTTTTTAAAGATTTTATTTATTTATTTGACACAGAGAGACACAGCGAGAGAGGGAACACAAGCAGGGGGAGTGGGAGAGGGAAAAGCAGGCTTCCGGCAGGGAGCCCTATGTGGGGCTTGATCCCAGGACCCTGGGACCATGACCTGAGCCGAAGGCAGATGCTTAATGACTGAGCCATCCAGGCGCCCCTAACTTTGTTATTTTAAATGATTTTTTTTCCTCTATTCAATTTTCTTTCTGATTATAGCTGTCATCCAGGGAAAGTAGCTTCTTATTGAACTCTTAAATTCTAATAGCTTCTCAGTTAATTCTCTTGGGTTTTGTATATAGAAAAATCCCATAACCTGCAAATAATGGTCATTTTGAATCCTTCATTCCAACATTTACCCTTTGGTTTCTTTTTCCAGTTTTCTCACTGCATCCATTAGAACCCTCAGAAAAAATGTTTAATAATAGATTAGAGAGTAATCGTCCTTGTCTTGTTTCTGACTTTAATAGAAATCCTTTACCACAAGAGTTTGAGTTCGTATCATGTTGAGGAAGTATCTTTTTATTCTAGTTCAATATGGGTTCTTCTCAGAAATGGATGTTGAATTTTATAAAATGCATTTGGGTCATTTATTGATTTCTCTTTCTTTGAACTATTGCTTTGATGAATTATATTAATAGATTTCTGAACATTGAACTCTTTTTTCATTCGTGAAATCAGTCATTCCTGCTCTTGATGCATCCTTTTGAAAATACTCTTCTAGATTTGATTTGCTAGACTTTTATTCAGGATTTGCATATTCATACATGAGATTGGTCAGAAATTCACTTTTTGGGCAGTCTTCATTTAGTATTGGTTTTAAGGCTATAATTTCATAAGATAAATCAAGATGATCCCCATCCTTCTCTTTGTCCTGATAGAATTTAAATAAGATAGGAAGTCTCTCTTCCTTGGAGGTTTATTGCTCACTTGTAAAGCCATCCAGATCTGGAACATTTTTTATAACATTATTTTTCTCAGTTTCATCTAGGGTTTTTAAAAAATTTATTTTGCTGCTTGAGTAAATTTTGATCATATGTTTTAAATAAATAATACATTTCATGGAGATTTTCAAAATTATTAGTGATTTACAGTATTATTTCTATCATTTAAACTTTCTGCTGTGAATGAGTAGACATCCCATTCTCATTCCTGGTGTTGTACCTTCCCGTTTTCTTTTCTGGCAATATTTTTTTTTTATTATGTGATGTTAATCACCATACATTACATCATTAGTTTTTGATTATTCCCGTTTTCTTTTATGCCAATCCAGATGTTGGTTTATTCATAGATCTTCTCACATAAGCCAATTCTTGGATTTCTATATTAGTTCTACTAATTTTCTAGTTTCCTGATTCATTGATCTTGTTTTTCTATTCACTAATTCTTTTCCATAACTTTCCTTTGGTTTATTTTGTTATTTTTATGTTTTCTAGAGTAGAATAAAATGGATGCTTTATTTTCATATTTAATTGAATAACAAAGACATTTTAGACTATGATTTTTTTTCCCTCTGAGTGTAAGTTTCATCTTATTCCATGCATTTTGACACACTATATCCTTTATGGTTAATTTCTAGATAGTTTGCAGTTGCTGTTTTGATTTTATTTTTATTCTAAGAACTATCTGGAAGTGTGTTTTCTCATTTCCAAGTGATTGAATTTGTAATGTTTTAAGGGTTTGTTGATAACATCTAGTTTGATTGCATTGTGTTTGGAAAATGTGACCTATTTAATGTCTATGTTGAGGATTTATTGAAATTTTCTCTGTGGCCTAATAATATCATTTTTGAATGATATGTAGGCAGAGACTCTATCTCCAGTGCATAGTATTTCATCTGTATCTTCATTTATTTATTTTATTTTGTAAAAAATGAGAGTCGTGTTGTCTTCCACTGGATATTTAATTAGTGTTCATTTCTCTTCGTATTTCTGGTAGCTTTTGCTTTGTATCTTGATGAAATGTTATTCAAAGTGTAAATGTTCTTTATAGCTATAGCTTCATGTTGGATTATATGTTTAATTCATGTAAAATGACCTCCACAGTGGCCCCTCCCAACCATGGCCCCTGCTGCCTGGCTTTGTCTAGGGGGGCGTATGCTTTTGCTCTGCCTCCCTCCTTGCTGCCAGGGATGAGTATTCCAAGGGAATATGGCTTTCCCTGATTTCTACTTTGATGATATTATGACCTCTGTTTATTTTTTTCTTTATATTTGCTGGGCATACTTCTGATGATTCTTCTCTCTTTACCTGCTTCATGTCACTTTATTTTAGTGTTGTTTGTTGGTAACCCTCCTATAGCATTGTCTCCCGGCATCTCTTGCTATAGCAGAGAAATCTGAAACAGCCGGGGGTTTTTTCGTTCCTTTGTAGGTAACCAACATTTTTTTTGGTAGATGTTTGTGCATTTTCCCCCTTATCCTTGTATTTCAGAAATGTGCCAGGAAGCATATAATTGTAGGCTTTTTCTCTTTGTGGACTTTTTCCTGTGGAATGTAGTAAATTCTTATAATTTATTTACACAGGTCTGTTTCTCAGTTCAGAAATGTTTTCTGTTATGTGAGTGCCGATTATTTATATGCCAGCTCTCTGGTCTTTATCTCCCTTAGCTATCCTATTCTTTCTCATCGTTTTCATGTCTCTGTTCTTATACTTTTTCTTTTGAAAGAGATATAGAGCTGACCAGCATTCCCACTGCCTCACCGACCAGCGTCTGTCAGGAAGACAGTTGGATGTCTGAAAATCTGGTTAGGGCATGTCCAGGGTATCTGAGTCAGGGAATGTGGAGAGGGGAAGTTCCAAGAGTCATGAGTTCAAGTGCAGATAGGTTGTTCTTTGTCCAGCTCCATTTGCCGTAGAATTTTGTGGTTGTTTTGTGTTTTTATTTTAGTTTCTTTTTTTGCAACCCTGTGTCCTTCAGTCTTAGCTTTCCTGGGGGCGGTTGGGGAGTTTTCATCTTTTTCTGTGTTTTCTTAGGTCCCTTGAGTAAATGGCTTGGTTAGATCTGAGTCATAAACCTGGCGTTCAGTCATCTTAACTTATAAGCATTCTTTCTCCTAAAACCCTGAGAGCAGAGGCTCTGGGGTGCTTGTGGAGCCTTCTGATCTCTTCTCCCACCCTGGGTCTGCTGGTGGGGTAATCCTTACAGCAAAGCTCCACAGAGTGGGGGAGGGGGACACTGATACAGGACACAAAGGATGGGATGGCATGTTTTTAGGCCTATTCTGGCCTCCTTGCCATCCCTGGGATTCTCTAGTTATTTGTAAGAGAAGGAATTAAATCTGGGTCTGAAGACCCTCTCCCAACAATATCTCCCCCTGCCCGGCTTTGTCTGGTGGGCTTATGCTTTTGATATGCCTTCCTTCTTGCTGCTAGGGATGAAGTAAAGAGGTAATTGCTTGTCTGGGGAATGAACAGAGAGGAGGAAGGGATACCAGAATGGCCAATTCCAATGAGAAATTGTTGACTTTGGAATTTCGTCGTTGTTCTTTCTGCCAGTTCCACTGAGCCTTTGGACCACTTCTTCCTCTGTCAACTATAGTTCCTGGACACATGCCCTGGAGATATCCCTCCTCTGGTGGGCACAAGCTTTTTGGGTTTATATTCCTGACATGGGTGTTTCGAGGTTTGCTCTGCTTGCTTTATGTAGGCCCAACAGCACCTTTGTAGGTCCACCTTCGCCTTTGTAGACCATCTCATCATTTCAGCTAATGGCAAACCTGATGCAGGACAGATATCACAGTGTGTAATAGCAAGTTTATTGAGATGGTGGAAGCTTCTAAAAGGCATTTAATCCATTAAAGTTTTTAATGGGATGCTGGGAGAGGCAGCATTAGGAGGCTCCCAGCCAGACATCATTTTAAGCCAGAACCCTTTCCTATTGATTCTTTTATTGGTTTCTAGACACTGACTAATTGGAAGTGCTGGGGCTCAGATGCCCTCTTATGCCTTCTGGAGGCACACAGGGAGCGGTCATCATTTTTAATGGGATAGACTGGACACCACCTCCTAGACCCCTTATGTGCCTTGAAGATGAGACCATCAAGCCCTCTAGGCCCATTTCCAGATCCCTTCCATATCTCCCCAAATTCCCTGAAAGAATCATAACTAACCAAGGGACTGCACATCCAGAGGGGAGCAGATATGGCCTGCCTGAAGCCTGAAGCCCTTCAGCTAACCACACTGACTTCTGGAAGTTTATGACTTGTCAGAAGAAGTTGAGGAATTTACTTCCTGGCTGAATTGGCTTTCTGATTTCCTCTGTTTCCAAAGCAGAGGAAAAGTTATATTACATGGTATAGTTTAAAACAATAAACAAGAGCAGGTCTAATGATTAGTATCTTCTTCATCAAAACTAACTGATAAAATATACTTATATTTCCACTCAGAAACTTATTCTTGCTTTTATTCAATGTCCATCTTAAGGATTTATTTTGAGCTTGACATCCCGAGAACCCTTCATTCTGTGGTTTGAATCTTGCCATGATTTTTGACCAAAAGCAATGCCATTTTTATCTGAATAAGCAGAAGACTTCCTTGGGCACGACTATCCATTCTATGGATTTTCTCCCCCTGGATGAGGGCCAAAGAATACTTAATTCCCTGCCTGTGGAAGTCTCTTGTGCAGTTGTAGTGTCAGTGAGAATTTAGAGAGGACTAGGGCGAGGAAGGAAGGGGGGCAGACAGCAGCCCTGACCCTGAGAGCTGCCCTGTCCCCACCCTGTTTCCCTGCAGACTTCTCCATGATGACTCCCATCAATGACCTCCACACAGCTGACTCCTTGAACCTGGCCAAGGGGGAGCGGCTCATGCGCTGCAAGATCAGCAGCGTCTACCGTCTCCTAGACCTCTATGGCTGGGCCCAGCTGAGCGACACCTACGTCACGGTGAGCAGAGCATCTTGGAGTGGGGTGGGTACTGCATGTGGCCCTGACAAAATCCCAAGAGAGAGCTCCTGCCCGTTGGCATGGCCATGCACTGAGCCCTTCCAACATTTCTAACCACTGTGGTCACCTGAAATAGACAACCTTCCCTGTGACCACTTCCTGCATAAGGAGCTAGGAACTCCTGGATCCTATTTCTAGGGCTACCCTTGATCATTGGGAGATTCCTCTTGTAGGTCCATTGCCCCAGTTCCAAATAAAGGCCAGGTCTTCTTCATCTTTCATGTGCTGGGGGGGAGATAAGGGTTTTTGGGTGTGAGTTTTAGGTGCAGTGGATTCAGGGGAAGTGGGGATTCAAGCAGAGTGTTCTTGGAAATAACCCTTCTGTCTCCTTGCCACTGAGAACATGTGTCTTCCCTCCAGCTGAGAGTCAGCAAGGAGCAGGATCACTTCCTGATTAGCCCTAAGGGAGTTTCTTGCAATGAAGTCACCGCATCCAGCCTGGTAAGTATAGCTGGGCATCTCATTGCCCATTGCTTATTGAAACGACAGCAGCCTACAGTGACAGGTCATGTTCAGATTAGCCACTGCCGTCCTATCCCTCATGGAGCTTGCCGTCTAGTGGGGCAGAGAAGACACATGGCTCCAAAGCACAACCCAACCATGAGACCAAATATGAGGTGCAGGCAGCAAGTGCAGTAGGAGGTAGGAGGGGGAGGAGCTGGGCCTGAGGTCCTCTGGGCCTGGGATTGGACCCCGAAGTCTGGGAATGGGGAGGCCTTCCCAGATTGGGGAATACGTTAGAATAACAGCCAGTGCTTCGTCTCAAGGCAGCGCAAGCCTGGCGTAGTGCTGGTGTCATAAGCATTAACGTTCTGGAACCCCCTTTGGTTCTCTCGCTCCTTTTAGGTGTACTTCCAGAACTTGGTCTTGATAAGGAAAGGTTCCTGGGTAGGAGGACGAGAGAAGTAGAAAGGACTGTCTTACAAGCAGAAGAGGCCCCATGGTTCCCAGATGTGTGGGCTGCTGTGCTGTATGCCTGAGGGCAGAGGGTACCAACTCAGGGCCTCTGCCAGGCTTGACACACATTCACATGTTGAGTCCACGTATGCACTTAAAAGAGCCAGCTGACAAAGTCACAGAATAGCTGGGCAGGGTAGACCTTGAGGGCTGCCAAGGCCACTTTATAGGCAGGAGAGGACACTGGAGCCCAGGGAGGTAAGTGGCTTGCACAGGGCCACCTAAGGACGTCATGGCCAAGTCAGATTAGGGTCAAAGACACAAGGAGGCACCGGCTCTGCCTTTAAGGCATTTGTGGCGAGTTGGGGAGCGGGAAGACAAGCAATGATTCAACTCAGAGTGAAGAAGGCTCCCATACAGCAGGAAACTTGGGGAGCCCAGAAAAGGTGCTTGGGCCCAGCAGGAGGGGCAAGGGAAGAGCATGTGGGTTAACCTGATGGTGAAGGAGCTTAGTCCCCAGGAGCCCACAGCATAAGCAGATTTAGACCAGGCCAGGAGGGAGAGACTGGGCAGAGAGAACTCTGTCCTCAGCAGGAGAAGGACAGTTCACACAAAGCCAGGCACATGCCACATCCTGGTGCATTTGGGAGGACAGTGAGGGGCCACGTCTGGCTCACGTATTCAGTGTCTGGAAGTGAGGCTGGGGAGGGGATAGGGACAAGATGAAAAATGGCACCAAAAGCGTGGTTATGGTGCTTTGGCTTTACTCTGCTGGACATGCAGAGCCGCTGAAGCATTGTAAGCAGGTGGGTGATACAGTCACACACACACATTCACACACGCGCGCGCGCGCGCACACACACACGCAGTGTGAGATTGTTAGCCATGACACCTGCTAGCTCCTCGGCATCAAAAGCAGATTATAAGACCAGTAACTAGTTCCTACCTGTCCTTTAAGATCTAGCTTTTGGGTGATTGGTAAATGGGTGTTTATTTTACTATTATCTTTACCTTTGTGTATTTTGCTTAAAAATTCAAAATAAAGAGTAAAAAAAAACAAGAAAAAGGCTCAGGTTAGATGTTACTTCCTCTGGGAAGGCTTCTCTGATCCCCCTGTTTTACTGGGATCAAAGACTCCTCCCATCTGCTTCTAGAGAATTCTGTGACTGACTCTCTTCTAGCTTCCCTACCCAAGGTGTGGTCTGTGGACCAGCAGCATGGGTATCTCTTGGGAACTTGTCAGAAATGCAGACTCTCGGGTCCCATTCTGGGCCTACTGAATCAGAATCTGCATTTTTTTTATTTTAAATTTTAGTTAGTTAACATACAGTGCAGTATTGGTTTTAGGAGCAGAATTCAGTGATTCATCACTTACATACAACACCCAGTGCTCATCACAAGTGCCTTTCTAATACCCATCATCCATATACCCCCTCCCCCACCCACCTACTTCCATCAACCTGCAGTTTATTCTCTATTGTTAAGAATCCCTCTCCCCTTTTTTCTCCCTCTTCCCATATGTTCGTCTGTTTTCTTTCTTAAATTCCACATATGAGTGAGATCATATGGTATTTGTCTTTCTCTGACTGACTTATTTCATTTAGCATAATATACTCTAGCTCTATCCATGTCATTGCAAATGGCAAGATTTCATTCTTTTTGATGGCTGAGTACTATTCCAGTGTGTGTGTGTGTGTGTGTGTGTGTGTGTGTGTGTGTGTATGCCACATCTCCTTTATCCATTCATCAGTCGATGGACATTTGGGCTCTCTCCATAGTTTGGCTGTTGTTGCCCCTTCAAATCTGTATTTTTGTATCCTTTGGGTAAACGCCTAGCAGTGCAATTGCTGGATCATAGGGTAGCTCTAGTTTTAACTTTCTGAGGAACCTCCATACTGTTCTCCAGAGTGGATGCCCCAGTTTGCAGAGAATCTATTTTGACAGGATCTCCAGAGGATTCTTATGCCCGGTCAAGTTTGAGAAACTCTGCTCTAGCATTTTCCCTGCTGAATCATAATCAGTCATGTCTCCTGGTAGCCTGTGTCCTCACCAAAAGCAGGAACCAGGTCTCTTCTTCTCCCGACACCAAGCACAGCCCTTGCTCCTGGGGTGCGGGAATGCCTGGAGGCGTTGGGTGTGGCCCACCTGCGGGAGGGTCCTGAGGGCCCCCACCTGCCTTGTGGCCATAAGGTTCTCTTCCCTGGCCCAGATCAAGGTGAACATCCTGGGAGAGGTGGTGGAGAAGGGCAGCAGCTGCTTCCCAGTGGATACCACAGGCTTCTGTCTACACTCGGCGATCTACGCTGCCAGACCTGATGTGCGCTGCATCATCCATCTGCACACGCCGGCCACGGCAGCCGTGAGTGTCCGCTCTAAGGGCAGCATTTCGTCCCTGAGGCTGGCAGCAAACCCCTGCTGCCCCCTTCTCTGAGGTGCTCCCTGACGAAAGAAGTAAGCCCCCCAAGCTAGTGGCAGTCTCGTTATTTAAAACAGTTCTGGAAACATTTCCTGAACTCAAGCCAAGGTGAGGAGAAGGAACACCCCATGTGGTAACCCTAATCCTCTCCATTTTTCTAAGCACAGAAGTCTTGGTTTGGGGACATGAGGCAAAGATATGAAGTGTTTGCTCTGCTGCGTCCCCCACCCTGCTACACACACACATGAGCACCATTTACCCAAGTGACGGCACCTCTTGAGTTTCCACTCAGGTCAGTCCTCTCGGACTGAAGGCTGGTGCCTGCCCCAACCCCCACCCCCAGCCCAGGCTCTGGTGAGGAGAGATCGTGATAACAAATAAGATGGTGGGAACCTGGACTTGTCCACTTTTCATAACCCAGGGTTCCAAGTGTCACTTGGAAAGACCACAGCCAAGCAGGTCTGGGTGTCCCCTCAACCTTCAACCCATCTTACTGACTTCCAGACCTTACACCTGCAGGAGCAGAGCGGACTTGTCATTGGCCTGGGTTTTTTCTGTGAAGCACACCAGTTATGAGCACTCAGATTTTCCAGAATATGGGACAGAATGAGGGAACAAAGGCGGGAGGCTCTCCTAAACCTCTCCATGCTCCTTGCTTTTAATAAAAGGCAGGATTTGAGGCATGGATTTTAACCCTATTCCCTGGCACTCTTATTGCCTTATCACTAGTGAAAGGGGGCCTCTCAGTGGGCCTCCCGGTTTCTGCCCTGACCTCAAGGCTGAGGATTTCCACCAGCTCACCCCAGAGCACGCTGGACCCTGCTTCACTCCAGCCGGGTGCCAACTCTGCTACCCCCTACCTTTTCCCAGAGTCCTAGGACGAGAGGAGAGCAAGGGGGTGGGCAGGAGCACTAGCTTTCTCAAAGGCATTCTTTGTAGCAATTTTAGAGAGAGGTATATTGACATGGCTGCTGTCAAAATGATGGTGGAAAGACGTCAGAGGAAGCAGCTGGCAAGCCAGAGCCCAGCCGGGTGCAGCAGAGTCACAGGGCAGTGCCTTTCTTGGGGGCTTGCTCTCTCCCGCACTAGTCCTCAGAGTAGAGCCTGGCTGTGCCACTCTGAGGAAAGGGCACAGACCGGGGTGGGGGAGCTGCAGGTGCTAACCATTCCACTGTCTCACTAAAGGTGTCAGCCATGAAGTGTGGCCTCCTGCCTGTCTCCCACAACGCCCTGCTGGTGGGGGACATGGCCTATTATGACTTCGATGGTGGGATGGAGCAGGAAGCGGATCGAATCAGCCTGCAGAAGTGCCTTGGACCCACCTGCAAGGTTTGCTCAGCTGTTTCAGAAAGACACTCTGGGGTGGGATTGTCCAAAACCTACATCATGAGTGACATGTGTTCAGTGGACAATGTTTAGAAGTTGCACTTAAACAAAAAAGTGAAATAAAATTCTCTTTATCCCACTATCCTGAGGTTTTGGTGCATGCTCCACAAATATATTCACATATATTTAGAAAACGTAGATCATAAAATATATCCTCTTTTTTCCTTTAGTAATATCCAGTAAACACCTTTGTATATTATTAAATATTTTCTAAATCACTATTTTATTTTTTTAAAATGTTTTTATTTAATAGAGAGATAGAGAGCACAAGCAGGCAGGGTGGCAGCCAGTGGGAGAGGGAGAAGCAGGCTTCCCGTTGAGCAGGGAACCCCGATGTGGGGCTCGATCCCAGGACCCCGGGATCATGACCTGACCTGAAGGCAGATGCTTAACTGACTGAGCCACCGAGGCGCCCCTCTAAATCACTATTTTAAAATTATTAGATTATACCTCATTGTGTAAATGGCTGCGCCACCATTTACCTTAACAAACTGGACACCGGAAGCTCCCCCCCTCCACCCACCCTGAATTTTTCCTTGATATAAACAACACATGATGAAAATCCTTTTAGCTAAATCTCTGTATATGCTTGAGATCATTTCCTTAGGATAAATTCCCAGGGACACACATTTTAGAACTCTTACTTCATTCGGGCGCATTGCCCTTTCCTCCCCCAGAGTCTAGTATATGAGAATGCTACTTCCCTGCACTCTCCCCAAACTTGAGTATTACTCCTTTTTTTTTTTCTTTTGCTAACTTGATAGAGAAAAACAGAATCTCACTATTGTTTGGCTTAAATCTAAAAACTTATTTTTTAACAGTACATCATTAGGGGTCGCCAGCTTAGTACAGGAAGTTCTGGAGCTGAGCCTACGTTGATAGATGCTTGTTCCCATCCTTGAAAGGCACTCACTGCCTAAATCATTTCCAGTCGGAGAGTCTCTGCCTTCCCATTCCTGACACAGAGGAGAAATCCCTGCCACTCTCTCCCAACATTCTCTAAAGCCTCATTAGCAGTGCCAGGAGAGGGAGGAGATGTTCACATCTACAAAATGCTACAAGAATTTCAGAGATTTGCTATCTACAAAATCTTTTTAGGCCAGAGTCATCATCTCTTTCTATTTCTCTGGCGCTTGAGAAGAAAAACCTCCAGCTGTTTTCAGCAAGAGAGGATGTGATGATTAGACCACTAGGCCTCAGCCCACGTCTGCAAGGACACATCCTACACATGGATCTGTGTCCCTCCTGCTAGGTGGGCATCGTCTGGTTTCAGAGAGTTCATGAGGAAAAAACCAACCAAGAAACAGTTTCTGCATCTGAACTCTAGGGAGTCAGGCTCTGTATAAGTTCATTTCTGTTTCTTTCCCCCACCCCCTTTTGTCTGCCTGCCCCTGGCTGAGTCACAAACGTTGCACCAACGGTGAGAACACCTGGGCTCTAGTTCCAATTCTGCCCTTGATTAGCTGGGAGGCTTTCACTTTCTTTAGGCTTCTGTTTCCTCTTCTGCAAAACCAGAGAGTTAAGAGTAGAAGGTCACTATGGCCTCCTTCACAGAAGTGGAGGGTCTTAGAGCTACCAGGGCATCGCTGAGTTCATGGAGAAGAGACTTGAGGTCCAGAGAGGTGACATGACGCACCTGTTTCTGCAGAGCCACCCCTCAGAGAGCCACCCCCTTGGGTTTTGATTTCCAAGTCAACTAAGTCACAGGAGCAAGAGATTGCTTTTGAGGTTAGACCCTCCTATTGGACACAAAGTAATTTCATTCACTTTAACACAGACACCAGTTTTTCAGACTTCAAAGCCCTCCGAGGCCTAAAAATCCAGGTATTGCCCAAAGAAATCCACCAAGCTCTCTAGTCTCCGTTTTAAAAAGCATTTTCTATTTTTTAGGGAGGATGCTTAGGGTTAAAATCACATCCGGGGTAGCATTGGGATGTTTGCACGGGGAGAATGAACAAGGAGTTGGGGGCATGCTTTGGGACTGGTTATGGAAACTGATTTGGAGTAAATGAAAAATCTCTCCTTCACTAAAGTTTAAAAGGCTTGAAGTTTTAATTGGCCGTTTGCTCCTATGCAGATCCTGGTGCTAAGAAATCATGGAGTGGTTGCTCTAGGTGACACCGTGGAGGAGGCGTTTTATAAGGTCTTCCACCTGCAGGCTGCGTGTGAGATACAGGTGAGCAAGTTCCTCTGGGGAGTGGGCCCTAGCGTGGCTCTGACGGAGTCCGCACTGGCCATGATTTAAGGAGTCCTGGGAGCCAGCCATCTAAAAGCCTTGCCCTATTTCTTCTCTGCCTTGGCACCACCTTATCCTTCTAAAGTTTCGCACTTAGAATCAGTTTTGTAGCTTTAAAATATTTATCACTGTTGCCTAACAACCAGTATCTACCTCTTGGGGGTCAGTGACCAGGACAGGGAGCTGCCTAGGCCCATCAATCGGAAAGTGGGAGAAACCGTAATAGGGGATATAAAAGTTCTTACCATGCTCACATATTACCTGGGGTATAACTGTTACATCTAGCTATGGCAAATAGACACCATCTCGTAAGTGGGTCTTTTCTCTTTTTGTCTGGAGGGTGTAGTTTGCAAAGACCATGAACATGGTCCAGCCCAGAAAGGGGTGAAGTTAGACATGGCAAGCCTGAACACCAGGGAACCCCCAACGTAATGTCCAGGGAGCCCATCGTAAGGTTCTCCTAACTAGTAGGGGGTGGGGTGGAGGGTGGGTGGGGATTGTCAGTGATCATGAGACCCCTAAAGGAATTGGTGGAAAAGCAATAGGAAAACACAAATCCTATAGTTTTGCCAGATAACAAGGTGGTGTTACATAAGCCAAACACATGCTCCTTTCAGTGTGGCAAGCTGTCAGGGGTGAGTAGGGGGGCCTTGCAAACTGAATGGACTCCATCCTTTCCAGCTCTGGGATATGTGTCTTTGGGTCAGGGACTTGCTTTCCTCATCTGGACAAGGGGGTGCCTATGGGATCCTTGTGAGGATGGGGCCTTTCAGATAAGGAGAGGTGTTGCTGATGGTATTTTTAGGACTCAGTTGACAGAAGGGAAGACTAACTGCTCCAGGATGAGTCAGCTCTTCGCAAGGTCCTTTGGTGTCCTGTCTGCCCTCTCCTGGCTGGTCTGGGCAGAGCAGCGCCCCAGGCGGAATGCCTGCCTTTGTCTTGGCAGCTGGGGGACAGGGGAAAGAATGGGATAATCCCAGAGGCATTGCTAGTGGAGGTTCTGCAAGTGGCACCTTTCTCAAGGGTTTTTAAATGACTATGTTGAGAGGACAGTTGTTAAGACAGTGATGAAGAGGTGTTAGAAGTGGTATGAGACTGCCCCATCCACCCAGACAGCGGTGGTCATAACAGAAGGTGGAGAAGGTAGAACCAGGGTCAAGGCAGTTCCTTCCTGATGCAGCCCCAACCAGAGATGCTGGCCCTGAGCTCTGACCCCTGACTGATGTTAGAACCTGGCAGAGCCTCTGATATGCCCACTTTCTTTTCCCCATATCTGTGCTCTAACGAGTTCCCCATCTTCCTTCTGAAGAAGAGGTTTCCATGAGAAAATAGTTCGTACCATTTTGCAAAGACAGCATGGCCTGGAAACGAATGGAGAGAGATGCCCATGTGTCCCCATCATGTGGTAAAGACCTGTCCCAGGCTACACGCTGAAAAATGGCCTCCGTACAGTTTAACCAAAGGCAGGATGGCCGTCTAGCAGCTGGGGAGATGAAAGCACAGAGTTGCCAGCCACTGGCCCCAACAGCCCCAGCGGCTTCTCTCGGCCCTATCTGCTGTCACTTTCTTTTCCGTCAGGACTGCCATGTGACCTTGTTAAAGTGCATCAGGCGATAGAAGCAAATAACCTCCAGAAAACCTCCAGTGGCTTTTTTTTCAGCTCGTGGAGCAGGGAGGCTTCTAGAGAGAGAAAGGAAGCTAGAGGGTGTGGAAGCAGAACAGGCCAGATTAGACCAGAGGTGTGGGTGGTTTAGGGCATGCGCGACCCCATGGGCCAGTGGTCTGCAGATGCTGTTGGGATGGTAGCCCCTGGGCAGCTCATTTCTGCTTGAACAGCCAGCACTGAGGTTCTATTTTCATCGTGGGCTAACTTTTCTCCCTCAATGATCTTGGCAAACGAATGTGGCTGTGGTCATTTTAGTGGTTCAAGGCTAAAAGCCTAGTCCATTCTTCTGGGGACAGTGCTCTCCATCGGTTTGGGGTTCTAGGAAACTGGGTCATCCCCAGCTGAGAGAGGCAGCTCCCTGCTCTGCTTACAGGCAGATGGGAAGAAGCTCAGGCAATTCTTCTCCATCTGCTACCCATCGCCATGGAAACTAATGGGGGAAGGGGGAGGTGGGAGGAGGCACAGTTCTTGTAAGGATATGGGCAGTTCTTTCCTCCATGAATGACTAGGCACATTGTTTCTTTCATAGTAAAACCTCAGAATTTTTTGATCATAAACATTGATGTGGCACTCTATGCCCCAGGTACTATTCTAGGTGCTTTACAAGTATTACCTTCCATAATGCTCACGAGGTAGATACTACTATTTTTTTCATTTTACAGATGAGAAAACAGGCCCAGAGAGGGTAAATAGCTGCCCCAAATTACACAGCGAGTAAGTGGCAAAGCCAGGATTCAAACCCAGGCAGCCTGTGTCCGCGTCCATGTCCTTAAACACTACGTTGCACTGCCTCGGGGGGAAATGAAGGTCGGTGGGAAAGATCAGCTGACAGTCAGCACTCCAAGTCAGGGTTCCAGGGTCGCAAGGGCTGGAGCCCTGCCTTGGCCAGATGGGGATCTGGGATGAACCAGGTAATTGATCTACTGGCTGGGATTCACTGCCTTTGAGAGTGCATGCCCACACGCTCAGCCTGTGTACGTGTGAGGGACTTCAGCATTAGAAAATATGGCAACAGAGGCCAGAACCGGAACTGGTGAATGAGCATAACAAAAAGGTGGATTTGCACTTCGTGTAATCTACGCCAACTCACTGTAACCCTTCTAACATTTGGACCACAGTATAGTAGGCTGCCTCCCTAGGCACAGAGCTGACTATCTCCAGGGATATTGGACAAGGACCCTTAGCTTTGGTGGATGCAATTTAGCTTGCTGGCTAAGTGATTTAATAAACGACTATTAAAGTCTCCATCTTTGCCAGATAAAAATGGAGCCTTCAACTGGACACATGCCTCGGATGAAGAGGGTATGGAAAATGAGTATTCTTGCTTCCTCCTCTTCACCCTTGCAAAGGTGGCCTGGCTGACCTCCAGGAAGTCCCATAGGAGGCATTTGTTACACTGGTGAATCCAACACACTCCAGGGTGTGTGCCGGATCCTCACAGGTTCACGGACTCATGTTGGCCAGCAAGCTAAATTGCATCCTTTCCTTTTCAGTAAAAACTGGAACACTGGAAGTTTATGTAATCGGATCATTCTCCTGTAATAAGTAGGCTTACAGGAGATATCAAATATTAATCAGATTGCAGCACAGAACACCTGGCTTCCCACTGAGACGACTGGGAAACCATCCTCTCTCACTGTTGCTGAATCATTGGTTATGCCAAATCATAGCCAATTATATCTGAGTGCTGGATTCAGGGAGTGGACAGAAGGTACCATTATATGGATATGGAATTAGAAAATAAGGAGATTGGTTAGATTAATAAATGTCTTCTAGGATCATCCTAAAATCGCCTGCTGTATACACACACCTCTTGCCCTAATACTCAGAGTCCATTGCCTGTAGCCACTTGTTCTGTCCCCTTGCCATGGAGCCTGGACAGTGGGGCAACTACTCCAAGTGCACTGGGGAAGCTGCATCTCCCTTTACAGGGCCCGGCTGTATATTACACAGGGAGAGAGATTTCAAACACACAGAAAGATGCAGAAGAATAATATACACCCACTACTCACCACTCAGATTTAAAAAGTAAAAGCCTTTTTACTTCAGATCTTTTCCTCTTGAAGCAATAAAATATTATAGACAAGAACTGAAGTCCCCTTTGGAATCCTTCCTGACCTCAACCCCCACCTTCCCCAGAAATAGTCACAAATTGAGGTTGGTCTGTATCCAGGTAACTTTTCAGTCCTCTGCATTGCTTTATTCTGGAGGTTTAACACTTGCTGCTTCCTCCTCTTCTATAGTCTCTAAGAACTAGCATTAAGAAAGAAACTGCTAAGACCTCTTTCCCTGGAAGTGGGTACGTGCCCAGTAACTCTGGAGCAGCTTTTCCTCTGGGAGGGAAAAAGCCAAATACAGCTCACATTTCTAGACATGTGTGCACACACACATACATGCACGCACACTGAGGTCTTTCTGCTCTTTGCTGCAGGTCTCCGCCCTGTCCGGCGCCGGGGGAGCGGAGAACCTCATCCTCCTGGAGCAGGAGAAGCACCGACCCCACGAAGTGGGCTCCGTGCAGTGGGCAGGGAGCACCTTCGGGCCTATGCAGAAGAGCCGGCTGGGGGAGCACGAGTTTGAGGCCCTCATGAGGATGCTGGACAACCTGGTGAGTCGGTTGAGACTCAGCCCCCTGTAACCAGTAAGGGGGGGATGCAGTAGGTGGACATGGGAATCGCAGCATCATGAAGCTGTTAAAGCCTCATTGATTGGCAACTGACTCAGAATTTGTGGTCATTCTAATCGTAGTTGAGTTTTCTTAAATGATGGCCTTTACCACCCCGTTCTAAAGGCTGTCAATGCCATCTTATATTGTGGCTCAGTTCACTCTTTTCTAGTTAGTTCTGCCTTGGTATCTCGTTACTTTAATGTAGAAACCATGTAATACTCTCATTTCCTTATTCTGCTGAGCAACATTCTAACAATATCCTGTCATAATGATTGAATGAATCAATCCTGTAAGGAGTTAACTGGTATGTGTCTAGGGGTGGGCTTTAAAGGATACAAAATCTAACAATCTAGTTGATGATAGGACATATAAATAGGAGACAGTTGGAGAACAAGAGCAAAGTATGCACAATGAAGAGCTAGTTGCAGGAAGAGAACATAACTTCTTCGATTGCTCGGAGAAGTGAAAGATGAAACCTATCTTTGGACCGTTTCTATATCTGATTCATGTTCTCCTCCTGACTGCTACTCCCTTGGACCCTCTTTATTGTGTCCAGATCACTGCAATAATTAATCTTTTTCTCCTTGCCTCCAGTCCCTCCAAACCATCCTTACCTTATTACCAGGCTGACTGTGAGGGTCACTTTATAATGATGAAAAACACAATCCACCTTGAAAATACAATTCCTGTTAACATTCATGTGCTGAGTAATCCATGCCTAAATAAAGCACCAGAGCCAGACAGTTTCATACAGGAATTCTTTCAAATCTTTAAGAAACACACAATTCTTTTTTTTTTAAGATTTTATTTATTTATTTGAGAGAGACAGAGAGAGGGCACAAGCAGGGTGTGAGGCAAGTAGAGGGAGAGGGAGAAGCAGACTCTCCGCTGAGCAAGGAGCCTGATGTAGGGCTTGATCCTAGGACCCCAATATCCCAGGACCCCAGGATCATGACCTGAGCTGAAGGCAGATGCTTAACTGACTGAGCCCCAAGGTGCCCCAAGAAACAGACAATTCTTCTGCCATTTAAACTGTTTCAGAGAGTGAAAGTGGAACATGAAACTGTAACAGTTATAACACATTCAGACCAATCTTGCTTTGAGTTGATGAAAAATGCTACATGAAAACTAGCAGGTAGTATCCAGCATAACATTAGAATAATAATACATAATAACAAGCGAAGGCTCACTCCTAGTATTCAAGGATGGTTTAATATTATAAATCTTTTTTTTTTAAAGATTTTATTTATTTATTAGAGAGAGAGAGCACAAGCAGGGGGAGTGGCAGGCAGAGGGAGAGGGCGAAGCAGTCTCCCCAATGAACAGGGAACCCAATGTGGGGCTCGATCCCAGAACCCTGGGATCATGACCTGAGCCAAAGGCAGATGCTTAACCGACTGAGCCACCCAGGCACCCCTATTATAAATCTTTTAAATATATTTCATGATATTAGTGAGTCAAAGGGTTAAAAACCTTTTGGTCATTTTAATAAATACCAAAGTCATTTGATAAAAATATAGTATCAGTTTATAAAAATAATAGCTGTTAAGACAGGAGGACACTTATTTAACATGATTAAAGTAATTTTTTTCTCAAAACAAGAGCCAATATACTGGTAACACTAGAAGTATTTCCATTAAATTTTGAAACAGAACAATGATTCTTTCTGTCAGCACTTTTAATATTGTTCTGGAATAATACTGGAACTCAATCTAAGGTGGTGAGGCATAAAAATAAATATTGAAAAGGAAACAAAATTACTATTCTATATAGACAGTATGGTTACATGCCTATAAAATCCCAAAGAGCCAACTAAGAAAAAATATTAGAAATAATGAGTGCATTTTAAAGTAGTCAGTTATGAAAATATATTTAAAAATTAGTAGCTTTTTTTGCATCTTAACATATAATAATATATTTGAAAATACAGTAATGGGAGAAAATAGCCCTATTTGCAAATGCAGAAAGAACATAAAACATTAAGCAGAACTGATTTAAAGAAAACCATAATAGTTTATCAATAGACGTCAGAGACGGGCGCCTGGGTGGCTCAGTCGTTAAGCGTCTGCCTTCGGCTCAGGTCATGGTCCCAGGGTCCTGAGATCGAGTCCCACTTCGGGCTCCCTGCTCTGCGGGAGGCCTGCTTCTCTCTCTCCCACTCCCCCTGCTTGTGTTCCTGCTCTCGCTATGTCTCTCTCTGTCAAAAAAATAAATAAAATCTTGGGGCGCCTGGGTGGCTCAGATGGTTGGGCATCTGCCTTCGGCTCAGGTCATGATCTCAGGGTCCTGGGATCGAGTCCCGCATCGGGCTCCCTGCTCCTTGGGAGCCTGTTTCTCCTTCTGCCTTTCTCTCTCGCTCTGTCTCTCATGAATAATAAATAAATAAATAAATAAATAAATAAATAAATAAATAAATAAATAAAATCAATCTTAAAAAAAAAAAAAATAGACGTCAGAGAAAACCTGAACTTAAGAGCCACAATTTCCTCTTGGTTAGAAAATCCCATAGGGTTAAGAGGTTGCTCTTCCAAATTAATAAACTCAGTGTAATTCCTTCAATAATAGGGGAGCACAGAAGGACTTAGCAAAAATGTTTTTCCAAGTGAAATTCAGAATGGCTAGGAAAATCCTATAAAAAGAAGAGTAATTAGAGATACTTGTCCCATCACATGGTAAAGCATGAAAAATCTTCAGCAACTAAACAGAGGAGCACTAGTGCAGAATGAACAGGTGAATCAGTAGGACAGCTTAGAGAATCCAGAAATAGACCCTAAATGTATGGGAACTTACCACAGGGCAACTAGGCATCTTATAAAGCAGTGGGAGAAAGATTGAGTGCTAGCCCTTTGGGAAATAAATAAGGTGGATCATTCCTTTCGACAAGATGAATTCCACAGGGCTCCTGGGTGGCTCAGTCAGTTAAGCGTCTGCCTTCAGCTCAGGTCATGATCTCAGAGTCCTGGGATCGAGCCCCGCATCAGGCTCCCTGCTTAGCAGGGAGCCTGGTTCTCCCTCTCCCTCCTCCCTTCCCCCTGCTTGTGCTCTCTCACTCTCTATCTCAAATAAATAAATAAAATCTTAAAAAAAAAACCAAGATGAATTCCTAATTTATCAAAAATTTGAACATAAAAAGTAAATTCATATAGATATTAAAAAACAGATTTATATTTTTGATGCTCTTGTGTTGGGAAAGAACTTGTCAAGTATGGTGAGAAAGTCTAACAAATATTGACAGATATGATTATATTAAAATTGAAAATGTATATTTTTATAAACTATCTCTCCCATCATAAACAAAGCTGAAAGACAAACTATGGAGGAAAATATTGCAACATCTGTGACATTCAAAAAATTAATATCCTTAATGTAGAAAGCGGTATTATGAATCAATGTGAAAACAGTAAACATCTCAATAGAAAAACAAACCAAGAACACAAGCAGTTTACAAAGGAAGAGATTCAAGTGGCCATTAAAAATATCTAGTTTTACTAGTAATAAAAAAAAGAATTTAAAAAGTTGGAGGATTTTACTTTTAACCCTTCTGATGGCCAAAGTTTTTTTTTTTTTTTTTAAACCTCAGCAATATTCAGCAGATGGGAGGGAGGTGAGAACTGGGAACTCCAGCACAATTGGTAGAAGTATAAATTGGTTCAACATTTTGGGAAGATAAAAATACATGAAAACTTTTAATGTATACCCCTTGACCCAGTAATTTTTATTCTAGGAGAGAATCTTTAATTGCCTAAAGAAAACTGTATAAATATACTTATTTCACGGTTGTGTATAATATTTTATTTTATTTTATTATTTTTTTAATTATTTATTTATTCATGAGAGTCAGAGAGAGAGATAGAGGCAGCGGCAGAGGGAGAAGCAGGCTTCCCGCCTAGCAGGGAGCCCGATGCGGGACTCGATCCCAGGACCCTGGGATCGTGACCTGAGCCGAAGGCAGACGCTCAACCATCTGAGCCACCCAGGCGTCCCTATAATATTTTAAAAATGACAAAGTGTCAGTGCTATCAATTACTTTTTACTAAATCATAAAAAAATAAAGGTTTCTGTGTGTTTATAGGTTCAATAATGTGAAAAAAAATCTCTAAATCACATCAATAAACTAGAAAAGCAGCTTGTAAAGTTGCTTATGCAGTATGGTCCCATTTATATACTGTTTTATATATATAATTATAGAACACATATATATAACATATATATTCTATAGTTATGTATTATGTATATACTTACATACATGCACATATATATATGCTTACAGAGATGACCAGAAAGATTTTTAGTGGTTATCTCTGGGGATGAGATTTTTAAATAAAACCCACTTCTTTCTTATGCTTTTCCATATTGCCTGATTTTTCTAGATAGGTCTGTATTTTCTTTATAATCGGAAAAATATTTTAATGCCTCTTTAATTTAAAAAAAATAAGAAGAAGATAGGCAAAGCCAAGAAGGAATCACATGAGGAGCTCTCAAGATGACTGAATGTTCTCACCAAGCAGGAGCCATTTCTACCTCTGTGGGACATGGTCCTGCTTAGGAGACAGGGATGTTCGTGAGTCAGATTTCAGGGTTCCAAGAAAGAAATGGCTTAGAAGCCTTGGAGTCAAGAAAATGAGGGTTGACTGTTAGAATCAGCTGGCAAGATTTTAAAAATCCTGCAGCCCAGACATTGTCCACTGAAATCAGCAGCTCTGAGGTGGGCACAAGTACCAGCATTTTTAAAGCCCCCAAGGGATCCCAGCATGCAGCCAGGGCTGAGAACCCCTGGAGTAGATGGAAAACTGGAACACTGTTAGGGTAAAGAGACCTGTCTGTCTGGTCCACAATGTTCTAGGGCTTTTCTCAGCTCTGATCAGAGGGCTTGTTAGGGTGAAGGAAAGAGGGCGTTGGGGGACCAGGAGAAGGGAACAATTCTGAAACACATCAAAGGAGCAGCATTGTGTTATGGAGATTTTGGGTTAAACTAAGTCCTTCAGAAAGAAGAGGGCAAAGGGTGTGTGAGATATGTGCATGGAGGCCATGTTTCCCACAGTAAGTGGTTCTGTTTCTGTCTGTTTTAGGGTTACAGAACAGGCTACACGTACCGCTACCCCTTTGTTCAAGAGAAAACCAAACACAAAAGTGAGGTGGAGATCCCAGCCACCGTCACAGCCTTCGTGTTTGAGGAGGACGGCGCCCCGGTGCCCGCCCTGCGGCAGCATGCCCAGAAGCAGCAGAAGGAGAAGACCCGTTGGCTCAACACGCCCAACACCTACCTGCGGGTCAATGTGGCTGATGAGGTTCAGAGGAGCATGGGCAGCCCCCGGCCCAAGACCACAGTAAGGAGGAGATTGGGGTGGGGGGAGGGTGCATGGCTATATCTGTGGGTTAAGCAGCTTAATTTAAAAGGGGAACAGAACAAATATCCCATGGGCTGGGATATTAGAGTTTCCCTTTAGAGCTTCCTATTGGGCATCTAGGAGCAGCTGCTCATGCCCGCAGAACCTCTGATCACCTGTTTCTTGCACCTCTGCACTGAGGTTTGGGGCCCAAAGAGCAGATTTCTCCAGGGGGTGGCTGGACCTCACTCTCAGCAGCACAAAATCTAGGAACAATTGGTTTTTGCTTCTCCCCCATATACAGGGCTGGGAAGTTCATGGGCATCCAACATTTGGATTGTTCATCTGATGCAAACCCAGAAGATGGGTGGGATATGAATTTCGATTAAGTTGTCTTCTCCCTCCCCACACCTCTTCTCGTTTTCTCTCTCTCTCTCTCTCTCACACACACACACACACACACACACCAGTGTGCATACACACACAACTCTTAACTGATTTTTCATTAACATTTAAGTAGCTGAAGGCAAGTAGAATAGCTCTTCATTAAAAACAAAAAACAAAAAACGATGAAGCCCTGCAAATTAAAATCAATAAGTCAGGGCACTTGGGTGGCTCAGTTGGTTAAACATCAGACTCTTGATTTCGGCTCAGGTCATGATCTCAGGGTTGTGAGATTGAGCTCTGTGTTGGGCTATGCATGCTCGGAGTGGAGTCGGCTTGAAAGTCTCTCTCTCCCCTTCCCCCGGCTCTCTCTTTCTCCCTCTAAATAAATAAATAAAATTGAAAATCAGTAAGTCATCTGATGCTAAAGGCCAAGTGGCTGCCTGTTTGTCAAATTGGTTGTCAAGGTTATGAGCCCTACTCTCCAGCACTCTTTACAGCTGACTATTGACCTGGGGGCCTTCTTTGGCAAGCAGGTCATTTGTTCCCCATCTCTGTTCTGGGAGACAGACCTCAAGGAGGCCCTAGAAGAGAGAACATCTCTCTATAGGCTTGCTGACCTTGCACATGGACCGGTTGGCCCAGATCTCAGGGGTGGGCCATAGGGGAGGACATGGTGACTTTATTCCTTTGCCTTACCCACCTGACCTTGTGTGTGTTCAGTGGATGAAGGCTGACGAGGTGGAGAAATCCAGCAGTGGCATGCCGATACGGATTGAAAACCCAAACCAATTTGTGCCTCTCTATACCGACCCCCAAGAAGTGCTGGACATGCGGAACAAGGTAAGGTGGGAGCTGCTTCTCTTGCCATCTCTTCCCACAAATATGAGCTGAGTTCCCAGGATGTACCTGTCTTATCAAAAACCCAGATTCCTCTTAGGGGAAGGAAACTACCATATACGGGCCATTCTCTAGCACCGTGCTAACGCTATACTTACGTGGTCCTAAATAACCCTCGTACATAAAGAAGTGCTTGCTTGTGACGTTAGATATGTCTAAGAAACCTGCCCATAAATTGCGTTTTTATGAATTTTATGCTATTTTCCTTTCAGCTCATTTTCAAAATTTCAAAATCCTTTATATTTCTCTCTCAACATTTGCTTTATAGTTCACTCACTCACATTTCTCATGTTACTTTGAAAACTTAGGTTGTAGTAGACCACCTCCAAAAGGTCAAGTATACTCACAGAACAGTGATTTAATGTATGGTTCAAGGACCTTCTGCAGTGCTGATTTAAAATGCAGATGCCCAGGTCAAATCCCTTGTTCCTCCGCAAGGAGAGACTCCGATTCAATGGCTGTGGGGTGGCCCCCCAAATCTGTGATAGTCAAGACATTTCTCAGGGGCTTCAGTAAAATGTGAGGCCCTCCCTCAAGGATCTACTGTGCCTCGTTTCACTCTTCACCTTAGTTACCTCCTCAGAGTTCATGAGAATCCAGTATTTTACATAAACTAATTCACTCTGAAGCACACATGGAGACTGTCTCTTAGAGGACACACTGTGTTAGAAATAGGGGAGGCAGGCCCCCGCCCCACTGGAGGACCTTTGTAGACCCTAGTCACAGGGCACACGAGACATCAGGATGCCCTCCAAGTGCCCCCTCCCAAACTCCATACCCTGATGCTCAACAGCTAGCTCACTCTCCCCTTCCCTTGCCACACAGATTCGAGAACAAAACCGACAAGACGTGAAGTCGGCAGGGCCTCAGTCCCAGCTCCTGGCGAGTGTCATCGCTGAGAAGAGTCGAAGCCCGGTACAGCAGAAGCTGCCCCTGTCTGGAGGGGAAACGTGTTTGCCTTCTGGGTCTTCAGTGCCTGGGGCTAGGCAGCAGGACCCCTGAGTCCTCGTGCCCACCGTCCCCTGTGATCTTGGGCACTGGTGCTCTTGCTGCAGGACGGATGCTGTGAGGACCAGGGACAGTGTGCAATTGCCCCCTGTGGGTACCGGGCGGGGGTGCAGCAGCCCAGCCTGCCCCAGGAGTGATGCTGACTTCCATGCTTCACCCATGGAACTCCACTCTGCCCTCTATTGCTGTCCTGAAAAGTGGGCATCACAGGAGTGCGGCGGGCAGCTCCCAGCTGCTCCAGGCCTGCCTGCTCTGAGCACTTCTGGCCTCTGTGTGTGGATATGGCATCACCAGGCCGTAGCTCTGGGAAGATGCTCATGGGCTCGCAGAGGGGAGGCATGTATATAAGGACTGGTGCTCCATTCGGGCCGTTAGTTGCCCACACAAACCCACATAGAGTTACAAAGTATAAAATTGTTTCCATGCCTGAGATAGGACAGTGTTTGTCTAGTGCTTAGCAAAAGGGGTGAAAATCAGAATTCTGGCTTGTGTTGAAAATCACTGCTACTTATGGCAAGTAGCAACGGGCATGGCATATTCCTTAGCGGTAAGAAGGGGCGAGATACAGGAACTGTTCCTCTCTGCAGAGTGAACTGAGATCATTTAGATCAGGCTGCAGCCCACAAGGTGGGTGCCCATGCAGGGAAGTATGAAGGTTATGTCATTGTACCACATTGTCACCCACCGCCAGTAGCCACGATGAGGAACACCAAAAGTGCCACAGGGCCAAGAACAGAAATACCCCATGATCCTGGGGTGGGGGTGGCAGAAGTTCAGTACAGTGAGCAAAACTGTTAAAAACTCTGCCATTTATACCAAGTGTTCTCCTTGGAGTCCCTCTTCTTGGGATCCTGGTCTTGGATTCTCTTTTGAACACTGATTCCTTAAGATAGGCCAATGCTGCTTCTCTTTCGGAAGATGCCCATGGGCCCATCATCAGAGGATCGGGGGGGCCAGGAAAGGCGGCCTAGAGTGTGTGGTGTGGGCCAACTGCTCTGGGCTCACCTCCCCTGAGTTTCATGCTCTTTGTCTCCTCCTCAGCTTCAGAGCAGTGCATTCTCGAAGGTCAAGATGAGGATGCCAAATTAGGAAAAAGGGCTATGGGGTCTGAATTTTAGACTCTGTCATGGGCTAGAGGGGTCAAAGGACTTCTGAAGCTCACACAAGGTCCAGCTGGTGAGCTCCCCAGAGCCAGGGGCTCCACAAAGTCTCCCAGGGATTTTGCCAATGTCCCCCAGGGACCTGCAGTACAGGCAGGTTGAAGATCCGAGATTCAGGACCTTGGCCCCTTGTAATTTATGACTATGTGCAAAACAGGACTAACAGTTTGGACTGAGAACGCTGAAGCCATTGTGTGTTTTGCATTTGACTTCCTGCTGTGTGCTGTGGCTTGTGCACCTGTTGGGGGTGGGAGGAGGGCATGGTGGGGAATGGCTGGCATAAAGCGGGCTTGAGCCAATGCTTTGCTTGCTGGCTTTTGGCTAACTGACTTTGGGCTGTTGACTGTATTTGCATAGTGATGGCTTGCAAGCATCCACAGGAGGGGTTGCAATAAACGTATGTCTTCCTTCTGCTTGGGAGCATCCTTCGATTTTATTTCTGGGGCAGAGGGTGGACTCCCTGCATTTATCCAGGCAGTTGCAAAGAACCCAGGTCTGGGGGTGAGGTAGCCATGGGAAGGAATGAACAACCCCTACCCCAAGGCCCTGAGCTGTTTCCAAGGAGCTGCATGCCATGCTGTCCCTAGCAAGACCACTGGCAGCCACATGAGTCTGAAAGGAAGCTCGGGCCTGGGCCCCAGCTGCGGCATTCAGAGAGCAACACACACTCTGTGGTTAACTTTCAGTCTACAGAGAGCCAGCTGATGTCCAAGGGCAATGCAGATACCAAAGACGACTCAGAGGAGACCGTGCCCAACCCCTTCAGCCAACTCACTGACCAGGAGCTGGAGGAATACAAGAAGGAGGTGGAGAGGAAGAAACTAGAACTTGACGGTAAATAACCCCGGGTCGCCCAGGGGGAAGGGAGAGCTGGGGGCACCCAGAGGGGCAGCAGAGCAACCAGCAAGACTCACTCCCGCCAGTGGCCCTGGGAGCCACGCCCCCCCACCTGGCAGGGCCCTCAGGGCTCTGTCTAGCCTTGCCTCACCTTCATGTTCAGCCTTCACTTCTCTCTCTCCTCTGTCATATTCTCAGTTTGCCCTTCCTGCCCCATCAACCAAGTCACATTCTTACCAGCATAATGCTATTACTTACGTAATGGTCCTCATGGCTCAGTGCCTAATGGTGATGCCGTGCTGCCATGACCTTGTCTGAGCCTCTCACCTGGGTTTAAAAGAGTTAATCCTTATAGAGTGCTTAGAATAGGGCCTGTAAGTATGGCTTAGGTCAGATAAACATTAGCTGTGATAAGAGAATTATAATAGTGATAATTACTATTAATCTATCAGATCCAGTATAAACCTTTTAGCCTGGCAACGAAAACTCCCACCAGCTACCTCTGGTCTTTTCCTTATTCCTTTTTTATTTCAAAATCTTCAGTCCAGCCCATCTCTCCATGTTGACTCCCAGATATGCATATTCATGATAGCTTGTATGCTCTCATTCATGCCTTTGTCCCTTCCTGGCACGGTTTCCCTTCTAGGCTAGCCTGATCCGAGAACTTCCATCTCAAGCCCCCCTTCCAGCTAAAAAAGCCCTCTCTGTCCCTCTCCACCCCCCCTCTCCACTTTGAGCTGGCCCTTCTCTTTGTTTCAAGAGCACTTGGGGTCTGAGACACTGAAGAATTCAGCTCCTGGTTTTGTCCACCGGGCTAGGCTTTCATTCCCTCAGGGCAGGGTCGATATCGTCCATGACCCCCCTCCCCCCCACCCAGAGTCAGCCATCTTCCTGGGCACAAGCAGGCTCTAGAAGAACCCTTGCTAGCTTGCTTGCAGTTCTAATGGGACAGTTGAAAAAGTAGATAGAAAATGTGGTGCTTTATATCCCTAGAGATATTTGGGCTGAACATGAAAATTAGATAAACAATAAATTAGCTACATGTAACAAATCATGGGTGGGACGCCTGCAGTCTTGGGCTCCACATCAGGGCTAACATTCCACTGGCAGATGTGCCTGGATGGAGGAAACAGAATATGACTCTGACTCCTCCCATTTGCCTCCCCCCCGGATGTAGCAGAAATTTAAAAAAGTTTCAGGGGAGCAGCTAACTTCAGCTAGGAGAAACCAGGACTAGCTGGAAGAAACCTTTTTTTTTTTTTTTTAATGTTCTCTCTCTGCCCACCTTTCCTCTGTTTGACCCCTATCCTGAGGTGGTTTTCTGTATTTTCAGGAGAGAAAGAAACCACTGCAGAGGAGCCTGGCTCACCTGTAAGGTCTGCACCAGCTTCTCCAGCACAGAGTCCAGCGAAGTCAGAGACAAAGAGCCCCGCGGTCTCTCCCTCCAAGTCTTTAGACGGTGAGTGGAACTGAGCAGCTGGAAGGGAGGAGGCACCTCCACAGCTTAGAAAGGGGTCTGCATGGAAGGCAGGGCACATGTGCAAACTCCAGGGATCCTGCCTTTCAGCAGATCTTGCCTGCTACCCAAGAAGCTTTCTGTTCTGCCATTTCTAGGGAATCTGAAATAGGGGTTTGCAGGTTTAAGCTTATTTCATCCACAAGCTGTGACAACACATCTTACAATTTAAGTCCCTGTCTAAGCAATAATGAGTAAGTTAATGATTGACGCACAGCCTTCTCACCTCTCATTCAGACTAGGTTGGCTGATGGGTCTTTCTAGATGCACCAGCCCAGTGCTCAGACTTTAATATGTGTAGGGATCGCTGGGATCTTGTTAAAATGAAGATTCTGATGCAGTAGGTCTGGGGCGGGACCTGAGACTGTATATTTCCAACAAGCTCTCAGGTAAGGCTGATGACGTTATTCTCAACCTTTGGAATTTCAATACATTGGAATTACCTGGGGAGCTTTAAAAATCCTAACACTGGTCTGGGTCCCACCCCAGCATCCCCAGTGGTTCTCAGTTAAATGCTCTGGGATCAGGTAGAGAAGAGTACAGTGGAGTTTTAAGATCTCTCCAGGTAAATCTAATGTGTAGCCCAGGCTGAGAACCACTTCATTAGATACTAGTTTAGAGAACTAAGGTCTAGGCCCAATTCAACTGCTAACTAATAATAACTCAACTGCTAATTTTAGAAAATCAGATCATCTTTGTGCCTCAGTTTCCTTGTCTGTCAAATGGGACTACCAATATTTTCCCCTTTTAAGGTTCTTACACATAGAAGGGAAGCTGTAGATGAAAACAAAGAATGAAATACAAAACATAAAAGAAATAAAAGAAAGAATAAAAACATTTAAATGTAAGATCTGGGGCACCTGGGTGGCTCAGATGGTTAAGCATCTGCCTTCAGCTCAGGTCATGATCCCTGATTCTGGGATCGAGTCCCGCATCAGGCTCCCTACTCCTTGGGAGCCTGCTTCTCCCTCTGCCTCTCTCTCTCTCTCTCTCTCTGTCATGAATAAATAAATAACATCTTTAAAAAAAATAAATAAATGTAAGATCTGTTTGTGATTATAATTAATAATATACATATGGTGGATAATACTGCTATTATGGTCTATACCACCTACATCATAAAAGTGTCTTTATTGAGCTCCTGGAATCACCCTAGGGCATGAACACTCCTCCCCTGGGGCCCTGAGATTTTCCCTGTTCTGGAAAGAATGACCACATGTGTGGATGCTGCTAGAATCCTCCATCCTCTGAGCTCCCTCCATAGGCAAATTGCTGCCTTGCGTGCAGTCCCAGTGTTGCCAGAGGAAACCCATCTGCTTGTGGCCAGAGCTCCAAGTGGATGTCCCCTAACTGTTTGTGTTCATTGTGTCTTATCCTGGTGTTATCAACCTGTCTCCACAATGTCTTCCTTTCTCTTCCCATTTGTGCCTTCATCAAAGGAGTTTCCTCCGATTCTGAATACTTGTCTCTGTAGTAAGTATAGAGAGGCTGTTTACTAACTCCCTCCAACACTTGCAATGGGGGAGGGAGGACTTCTTCAAAAAGAAATGTGTTTCTCCCCAGCTTTTTCTTTGGCAACCCTGACTTGGGGAGGATTCCTGGCTATAAAGTTCATGACCAACTCCACATGTGCTATGCATGGGCTAGGCTTCCCTCTAGGATATACACACATAGGATGGACTCATGCACACACACACACACACTCATCCACACATGGGACATACCACTCAGAAGCAGCAAGTCCGCACAGTGACAGGACAGTGGGGCCAGCTCCTGGGCACTCCCTGTGGGGGAATGCTTATGGCCCTCACTAGCACATCTGCACCTCTGTTCCTAATGGCCCCTCCAAGGAGCCCATGACCTCTTCTAGGGCTGGGGCCCAGAGCTTGAATGGCCCTAGGATCAACTGCCTTATAGAGATGCCTAGAGCACCTGACCTGACCATGTCTTCAGCATCCCTCAGGGCATGCACACCAGCCACAGGAGAGAAATCCAAGCTGGAGAGGCAGCTTATGGCAGCAGTGGGACAAGGGGTAGTAATTGCATTTCAGCTCCTGGGAGCCCCTTGGAGCAACCTCTGCTGTTCAGAGGGACAGAGAGTGGAAGGAGGGGTGTATGACAGGTAGGATAACTGCTTACCCACCCCTGACATCATTGCCACTGGTAGCATGATTTCTGCCCAATCTGGTCCAAATCTGTGCCCTCATGGAGGAGCACACCTGGTTGAATTGTTAGAAAAATCAAGATCCTCCCTGAAGACTCTTCTTGTAGTTTAGACAGAGCTGAGCCTGCATGGTGAGGCCAGAGTTGTAGCTGCCTTGGGTGACCAGTGTGGAGCAGGGCAGGGTGGCCATGGCCACGCTACCCGATGGCTTGCCCAGCTCCTCAGGGCAGACAGAGCTGACCCTCCCACGCCCATCAACATGAGCATTTTCACATGTAGCTCACCCACTGAATCAGGGCTGGCTTTTTACTGTGTGTCACCATGCTCTCAAATGCTCTGGTGTGGAGTCACCTCCGTGTCCCTCCTCATCTGTCTCCTACCCCATCAGCCTCCCTGAAGGAGACACTTTCAAACCCTCTTCCTCCACATCTGGTCATCTCTGTCATCGCCTTCTCTTTGACAAGCTCCTGATCCCTGCCCCTGCTGACTCCATCTCCCAGTAACCTCTCAGGAGCACTGGCTGTGCCTGCCAAGAAATAGCCCTGCATTCAGCATCAGAAGATCATCGCTGTCACTTACTGATTTCGCCATCTCAAATAAGTCACTTAAAAACCCTGCAGAATGGGGGGCTGCCTAACATGAATCCTTGCCCTATCCTAAGTCATAGCATTGTTATTGGGATAAAATGAGCAAATGAATACAAAAGGGCCTTGTGCTTCCATCTATTAGTTCTCGTTATGTACTATGTTCTTGGGATTGTGAGAGAGAATACAGGCTTGCTGTTTTAAGCCACTAAACTTGGGGGTGGAGGTTGTTATGCAGCAGTAGATAATTATTAAATCATGGTGTATAATAAGAGCTGGTTTTATGGAAATTAGTTTTTCTGTGGGTTGACTAGCCTCAGCTGGATGGTTCTGTTCCATTCAAGTCAGCTGCATCTGCAGTCATCTGGGAGCTTGACTAAACTGGAACTTCCAAGATGGCGCTCTTATGTCAGGTGCCTTGGCAGGGACAGCTGGAAGGCTGGGGTCAGCTGGGACACTGGGATGGCTGGGTCTCTGTCTCTGTCTATGTGGTTGTAGGGCCTCTCCATGTATGTTTCCATCAAGGTAGTCAGACTTCATTACATAGTGGCTCAGGGCTCCCCAAACTCTGAAAGCAGGAACTTCTAGGCCTTCTTAAGTCTTCAGCCTAAGGCTGGCTCGGTGGCAGTTTCTCATCATTCTGTTGGTTACTGTGAACCATGGGGCCAGACCAGATTCATTGTGGGAGGGGACCACACCCAACTATGTCCTCTTAAAAAAAGGGTAAATGACACATGAAAGTGTAAAATGGATATATTGGCAATAGATTTAGAGAAGGGCAAGATCATTGTCAAATGTCAGGAGAGGCTTGAGCCATACCAGAGAGTTGATGAGGCCAACTGGCAGGTGATGTAAGGAGAGGAGAATGGACAGAAAGAAGGTTGTGTTTAGACAAGTGTATTGATTTCAAGACTATTGCCAGGTGATGACCATGGGGACACATGGTGGGAGGGGAGGGGAGTGTGGGCCATTGGAGTAAAGGGCATTAGAGAACTTAGTAGCTGGATGATGATAGGACATGGGCCAAGCAGTAGAAGGATGGGAGCTGGGGTCAAGGTGTTGGGTACTAAAAGAGAGACAGTCCTCAAGAGTCGTCTGGAAGAAGAGGACATTGACTTGCCCAGAGAATTTCAGAAGTTAGGAAAGACCAGAGTTTGCCCATAGTCAAACTAGCCCATTCTACCTCTCCCCAGATTTACACCCCTCTGTCCCATGTTCCATGTAACCATACATTTCTCCAGTCTTTACCCCTGTCAAGAACCTTAGTTTTTTCCTAAAACTTCTTTCCCTGCCCATTCCATCTGTAAGTCAGACCAGTCATACTTCACCCATTACTCACATTCCTATAGAGGGGAGCATGCCCAGTGCCTTCTTGTGGTGTGAGATCTCACACAACTCACTCACACAACTCACTCACACACACCAACACTCACACACCACACCCACACACTAATTCACAAACTCATATGGCCACACACAAACTCAACACAACTCATACACTCCACCCACACACTCATACACCACACTCCCATGCTTATTCACACAGCTCACTCCACATTCACACACTTACAAATTCACACATACAAACATGCTCTCATACATTCACACACTCCTCTCAGTTTCACATAGTGAAAAGAACAAAAAACTGGATGTCAGGAGATTGAGATCTGCTCACTTTCACTACTTAGTTTTCATTTCTGTAAAATGGGGAGGAGCTGAGCTAGATGATCTGTAAATTCCTTTCTACTTTTCAGAGTCTGTGGTTTTATAATTTCCCCTCCTCCCTCCCCATCCAGGCATTTCAAAGCTTGAGTGGAAGCGAGGTGGGGAGAGAGTGGGAGGGAGGAAAAAGGGCAGTAGGGGGGCTTAGTTTCTGGTCTGAGCAGCTGTGGCTTTGAACATGGCAGCAATCCAAACAGGTTCCCTCCAGGTGACCACTAGAATGGGCCAACCAGCCATCTTCCCCTTTGGTTAATCCTTTTATCTTGGAAACATGGGGTCCATATCACTCAAGGAATTCCATTCTCCCTCTGTCTTCCCCTCTCTGCCTACTGGGGAGATATTCCCCATTTTTCCAAAAGTTCCTCTCTGGTATAGGAAATGAAATGGGTATAAAAACATGTAATTTCCATGTTAACTAACTGGAGTTTAAATAAAAGCTTTAAAAAACTTTAATTTCCATATTTTTACTGGTGAAACTGAACCGGTTACAACAGTTCTTAGATTCTTCCACTGAGTTGTATGTGTTACTGGTCTCCTCCTTCCTATAGCCTCTCTCCTCACCTGGGTCTGTCCCCTCATTTAGTCCTACAAAAGCTCTCAACTGGGCCCTAGCTGGGCCCCCTGCCACGTTTGGACATCATTACCTGTTTACATTTGTAGACAAGACCCCAGAGTAACAGACTTGCCAAGGGCCTGTTCCCAGAGCAGGCTGTGTGGAAGGGGGTACAGGGTTTGGGTGAGAACCCTGCCTAACCCTTTCCCCCTACGATGTCAGCCTGTCCCTCCTGTTGCTCTAGGTTTCTTTTATAGAATTGCCTAGAAATGGTTCTGTTAACCCCATATGAAAACTTTCACCTGATGGAAATCTTAAGGGTCATATCTCTTGATCTTTTTCTAGAAGGTGCTAAGAAGACAGAAACAAGCAAAGCCACTACAGAGCCTGAAACCACACAGCCAGAAGGAGTGGTGGTCAACGGGAGGGAGGACGAGCAGACCACAGAGGAAATTCTCAGCAAAGGCTTGAGCCAGATGACCACCAATGCCGACACAGATGTTGATACCTCTAAGGACAAAACCGAGTCGGTCACCAGCGGCCCCATGTCCCCAGAGGGCTCACCTTCCAAGTCTCCCTCCAAAAAGAAGAAGAAATTCAGAACCCCATCCTTCCTGAAAAAGAGCAAAAAGAAGGAGAAAGTGGAGTCCTGATTGGTAGCACCCTTGGGCTCCCATCTGCACCCTCTCCCTCCACCCCTTCCCTTCTCCCATCTCTGTCCCTGGAAGCACAGGGCCAAAGAGGGATAGAATAGGACCCTGGATCACACTCTGAGGGGGAACTTAGAGATTACCCAACCAACCCCTCATTTTACAATTGCCCCAGAGAAATCAGGTGACTTTCCCAAGGTCACACAGCTAGTTAGTGGCAGAGCCTGCACTAGAATTGGGGTCTCCTGGCCCCTAGTCCAGTGCTCTTTCCACTACATAACACTGCCTAGTTGTGGGCCACCTTTGTGAGGATGCTGTCCACCGATCTGAGCCCAGGGCAGAAGGCCTGAGTGGGCTGCAAGCCCTCACAATCTCAGATCAAATCAGACAGGTTCAGACTTCCCCTGAGCAAGGTCCTTTTCCTTGCAGGAATCCAATCTCCTGCTAATGGAGCTGTCACAGTTTAGAAATCTCTCTTTTCCATAGGGTCCCCGCCCTGCTGCTCTCAGTAACCAGATAAATTGCCCTGTCCCCTACACCAGAAGTTTATCTTTGTTCCCAAGGTCTGATGGCTTAGCTTGTGCTTCCCCAACCACTAACCCTGAGCTTTCTTCATGGAACCTCCTGAATGACGGATGGATGAAGAATTGTAAGAGCGGGCAGACATAAGGGCAAGCCGAGTCAGCCACAGGATTGGGAATCATTTAATCAATATAAGAAGCCAGGAACTTGGCCCATTTGAATTGTGCATCTCAGGCGCTTCAAAACTAAAACCAAATTTAGCTTAGAGAAAAGTTGTCTCATGCTCAGGGCAGAAATTCGGGGAAATTTAGATCCTCTGTTGGCTTTGGGTTGTACAAGGAGGATCAAAACAACACAGGAAATGCTATGCCTTTCTAGCTTTGCATGATACATGGAGCAATGTGGCTGTACCCATTTCACTCCTATGTGGCGGTCAGGTGTCCCCTGACCTTCCTTCAAACCTGGAAGCACTGGCTCACAGACTGGAACTGGCATCTTATTCTTGGCACCTTGACCTTGGCTCCTTTGGATTCCGACTCAGTCACTCTGGGTCCAGCAGAGGAGAATGAGATGAGCCCTTGAGATTCATTCCTTGGATCAGCTATCAGAAAAATCAGCTTGAGTGTCCTTGCCCTGCCACTATCTGTCCACCTTGGGGCCTAGTAAGAGCCACAGCTGCTGTTGTAAATGCCAGCACTATCTTTTCATATTCTTCCACGGGACATCGAATAATGAGCATTGTTGGCTCCTAAAAAATAGACAATCCATTCTCTTTATAGCACAGTGTCTTCAAAGAGTATTTTTCCTTTTTGTCCTGATTATTGTGAAAGTACTTTTGAAAGTTCTTAATCACAGTTTTCCACTTTTGAGCACTTACTTTCTATATATAGACACTGTGCAGGCTTTCCATGTGTTACACCCTTCGACTGTCATGATAATCTTGTGATGTGGGTAAGATATTCCCATTTTATCGGTAAGAAAACTGAGCCCCAAAAGGACAATCGACTTGCTCCAGATGACTTGGCTAGAAAGATCCAGAGCCTGGATTTGACCCCTGAGTCAGAGTCCAGAGTCTTTGTTCTTAACAGTTACGATGATTAGAAAACTTGAAATCCCCAAGGCCGGGGGCTAATTTAGTCCAGGACCCATTTCTGTGATTGGTCTCCACTGTGTAATGTCAGCATTTGAAATGAAGGCAGAAAACTACCTGTGTTCTCCCTCATGAGTGCACGTTAAGCTCCTGATAAATGTGGATTGTGGCAAGGCCAATGTGGACCTCTGACGAAGGAGAGGCAGGAGCCTTCTGGGTTAGGCCACAGTATTTGGGGGGCGGGGCTATTTCTTGAGAAGAAAAGAAGCTGACACATGACTAAAGAGAACCCAGTACTGCATCTCTCTAGAGCAGATTCCTAACTACTACCCCAGCCCCCACTCTGCTCTACTTTCTGATGGTCCTTGTGATGGGCAACCCAATGGTCAGGGGCATCCAATGCCTCACAAAAAGTCCATGTTGTGGGAAATGCCTTTAAGAGCCAATCCTTTGATGCCTTCTTTGAAAAAATAGATTTCACATTCATTCCTTCATCCCTCACAATATTTGTTAAGCACCCACAAAGCACCAGGCATTATGTCGTCATTAAAAGAAACCACTCATTGTGGCTAGGATCATCAACAGCCAGCAATGTTAAGAGAAGAGTGGAGTGGATTACCATTGACGCAGCTTTTTATGCTTGAGTGGTTGTAGCTCAGAGATGATGTTGATTGACTCTTCGCATTCAACAAACTCTCTTTATTCCCTTTACAACAGTGAGGCCTCATTTAGGTGAAAATGCCAGAGTCTTGCTGTAGGATCATCCTTGGGATTTATGCCGTGGGTCCACCTTATATTTATCCATTTGTTCATCCTCATGCATTCGAACAAAACAACCACAACAAAAAACCCCATGGGCTTGGGACATGGGTCAAGTCTGAAGGCAGAACATAGTCCCTGCCCACAGAAGTTTTTAAGTATAGGAGGCTTGTAGACAAGTTATGGAAAGGGCAAGGGGGCAAAGGGGACATAAGGAAGTAATGATTTATTGTCTTCTGGACCAGAGAAACTTTCCTGAAAGATGTGATGATTGAGTTAGGTTTTCAGACAAAGAGGAATTCTCCAGGAAGACAAGTGTCGGTGGGATATTCGTGCTGAGGGAAGAGCGTGTGCAAAGGCACGGAAGCACAAAACTCCACAACAGGCCCACTGAGTCATGCAGAAACGCCAGAACATAACGTGTAAGGGGGGCAGGGGCTTTGTTTCATAGGTGAGCAGGGCTGGGTCAGAGAGAAACCTATAGAAGTGTGCAACTAGATTTTATCCTGAAGGGGGTTTGGACCTGCTGATGGCTTACATCAGGGTGTCACGATCAAGCTTGAATTTTACAAAAATCCGTTTGGTGGCTGGAGAATGACCTGGAGAGGAGTACGGTGAAAGCCCAGGAGATCTCCTAATGAGGCCCTTCTGAAATGTCAGCACTGAAACATGCCTGGTGGCCTGCCTTACACCACGTTTTCCTTAGAGCAAATAGCATGCTTCCGGCACAGAATTTGGCTTCCCTAACGGTCTTTGGATAAGGCATCTTAGGAAAGATTTTCAACAAGGAGAGGGAAGCATTCAAAGAGCTAATGCTTGGTGCCGTTTCCAGGTCTGTTTCGTCTCGCTGCAGAACCGCCGCGGGAGCTGAGGCCCTCTGCCCATTTCTTGCTCTCCCGCACCTGTCGGCAGTGGTACGCTTAGCACCAGGTTCAAGGTGGTGCACTGGATGCTGTTGCAAGAGACGTGCTGTCCAAAAGAACCATAGGCTTTTAGGGAGAGGATGGGCGTTTTCTTTGGATCTGGATAAAAGTTGGCTGAGAATTTTGACCAGTGTCTGTCTGGAGAAAATGTCTCTATGGAGAGCTCAGAGTGGTAGGTAGGAGGGTCATTTCTAGTGAAGCCGCTGTACTTGGATATGCCGCAGAAAGGGATGAGAACATGTGAGCCAGTCTGCAGTGTGACGGATGGCTGAGCTGGGCAGGGGGGCCGTTTGGAGGCTCTTTCCATGGGGCGAGATGGGAGGCAGAAGGAGAGACAGTTACAGAGGGACAACTCGGTTCCAGTGACTTTCCGTGCACTAGTGGCTGGCACCCAGAAGTGATGTGGGAGAACCGTCCACACCACGTGACCTTTCTCAAACTTTGCAAAAAGCTTTGTCAAGGGCAAGCCTCTAGCACAGATCTGTGCTCCATGAGAGCTTCCTGGCCTGTAGTGACCCAAGTAACTGTCCAACTTCGGCCAGGTTACACACAGATAAAAATAACCTCCCCCAAGGGGCGCCTGGGTGGCGCAGTCGGTTAAGCATCTGACTCTTGGTTTCGGCTCACGTCATGATCTCAGGGTTCTGGATTGGGTTCCACGCTCAGCGCAGAGTCGGCTTGAGATTCTCTCTTCCTCTCCCTCTGCCCCTCCCACTTGTGTTCTCTCTCTCTCAAATAAATAAATCTTTTAAAAAGATAGTTTCCCTCAGCAGTCCTGTAATGAAAATGGGGTTCTTCCTCTGCAGATAGAAAAGTTCTTTTTAAGGGACTTGCAGGGATTTGGATGAGGACCCTGGTCTATAAGAACCCCACTGGAAAGCATTGCTCTCATACTATGGATTTATGTATACTGCCTTGAATCTTCTCCCAGCATCTGATGCACTGAATGTGGCATGGCAGCCATTCAGATGTCATTTAGTACCGTCCTAACAGGGCTACCGCTGTCCTTAACAGGCCACTTCTCTGATTACCATGGATTTGAAAGAACCATTCCCCCAACAGCATGATTCCCTTCTGAAAGCCGAAAAGATCAAAAAGAAGTTTGGATTTTTCGAGGGACATATGCATAGGGGTAGATAGACACATAGCCTACCATCGGCCTGTGGAGGCCATCTTTTGCGCAAGTCCTTACTCCTTTTCCTTACGCAAGTCAGCAGAAGCCCTTGAAGTGGTTGCTAGAGCTGCTGTTGACTCTCTGAGCGTAGAGGCAACAGGTCTTATATCTTCTCTTACCACTTGAGTCTAAGCAAACTCAAAGACAATAACGTTGAGAGGGTCTGAGAAGAAATTAGGGAGGAGGTAAACCCATGCTCTCCAATTCCCACAGAAAGGACAAGGCACCCCACAGTTGTTCCCCATCTGTTCCAAAAGGGACAATTGAATATGAAAAGCCAGAGGCCTGAACAGACTCTGAAGAAATACGCTCATCAGTTATTTATCTGTTGCAGTTTCACTTGTGTCTCAGTATGAGAATGCAGACACGGTAGAGTGATGACTTCCCAATGCCCTGTCTAGCCAACCTACCCACTTGGATGTGGCTTACTTTTTGCCAGAAATAAAAGAGCACACGTGAAGCCCCATAACCAGGGCACATTCAACCCTCTTGAGCCTCTCGCCGTGAGAAGCCACCCTCACCCAGGAATCAATGTGGGCATTTCAGGTGGGGTGTCCTTCTTTAGTGGAGAAATCTTCTTTCCTCATTTTATGTAGATAGGCTTCTCTTTTTAGGAACAATTAGAATCTCCAGTTGAGGGTTTTCTTAAAAATACAGAAGTGATGGTTTGTATTGGTTTGTACTTGGGTTTTGCCAAATCGATGTTTGGTGCCCTTTGCCTTCAAGATGACCCCAAAAGTTGGGTCATCGCTATGAGGAATTGGGCCTGAAGATGGAGGAGAAATGGTTATAGTCACTGACACAGGGGATGCAGTTGTGGCCAGAGGCCGAGCCTCCCTAGCTTTCCTGGTGTGGTGGCTCCTCAGCTCTCTTCCCACCCACTGGTTCCCGAGGAGCAGGATGAGGCCATCTGCAATGTGGCAGTCCCCAACCTTTAAGTAGCTTAGAGAAAACGTGGGGCTTTGGGGTGGTGGGAGAAGAACTGTAGAAAACTCCCAAACTCTTTTCCCCTCCAACAGATCATCTCATACAACTTTTAGATCTTCCCTTTTTAAATGAATCAGAAGGAGGAAGACCGTTGGCCAAGGACGGAGGGGCCAATTTAAATACATCAAAGCTCTTATAAAATGAGACTATATTTTGGGGATCCCTGCCCCCACACTTCAGGCCCACCTTGTGCCTATTGGGCCTGCCTTCTGGGTGACAGCTTGATCTCTGTGGTCTAGTCCACCTTTAAATTCCTGCCATCCATGCTCCAGCCGCCGAGTCTGGCGCTGTGTTCCTCCCTCTCCCAGGAAGACTCGCGTGGGGAGAGGGTCCGAGGCCTGGGCTCACCTGGCTGGGTATGCAGGGGTCTAGATAGAGAGTGCCGTGTCCTCTAAAGCCGTGGATGGTTTCAGTGAAATGTCTGTGTCTGACAATCGTCTTCCCTTGTACATGCATTGTCTGTGTATAGCTTTTCCTAGTATTGTGAAGTCTCAAATAGGGGTTCCATGTAAATACTCTTTCTGCTACGGAAATGCCAGCCCCCTGGATCATGCATCATCCCCACAAACGGTTTGCCTTTCTCTACGCTAACACTTTTTGAGCCACTGGTGTGCAGATTGATGATTAGTTTCTTGGGCTTTTATTTTGCAAATTTATATATATATATATACACACACATATATAATATATATATATATTTATGGGTTGGTTTTGTATAGTTTTCTGTTTGAATCTCTGAGCACCAAAGCTGCCCGTGGATTTTCAAGAGAACTTTCCAAAGCCACTTCCTGAGGCCCCCCACTCCCCTGCTGCTTTGGTGTTTGTGGTGCCGGGTGGTATCTCTGCCCGTGGATTTCTGTATGTATGTGCTGTTATCTCCCCTGCGGATATTACCCTAGTAAATCTACCGTGCTTGGCTTCCTGGTGTGTGACCCATCTCTGTCGGCCACCCAGCTCTCCCTGCTCCCAGGGGAGCAGAAGCCAGAGAGGGGGGTCCTTGTATGGAAACCTCCAACCACACAGGAAACTCTTACCTTTGAAACCATTCCTCACACATGGAAAGCTAACATATGACTAATTGAGTTCTGATGGGGAGGGAGGTGACAGAATGCTGTAGACCTCTGAGAAGGGAAAAGCCCTGTGGATTTGCAAACAGCTCATGGAGGGAGAGCAGTTTAGATGGGTTGGGGGAGGGGAGGGGGATTGTAAAAACAAATGTGGATGGTCCCCACGGGGAAGCAGATTCACCAGCTGGACTGGAAGGAGGTGTCAGGCCAGAATCAGCAGGCTGGGGAGAGCTAAGAGGTCCCGCCAGAGCGTGAAAGGGGAATGAAGATAGTAGGGAAGAAAAAGAAGAGGAAAGAGCCCATTGCTCCTCTTTACTCAAATAAGGAGCCCAGGAGTCGTTGAGCATCTGCACACATAGGTCAGGCATTGTGTCTCACACATAGCACCTCGTTTGAACCCCATAAAACCCAAAGGGAGGTCCTATTATTACCCACTTTATAGATGAGGAAACCGGCTCTGAAATGAGGTTTTCATGGGCCACAGGTTAGTATGTGCTGAAGCCCAAATTCAAACCGAGGTCTTCTAGCTAAGCAAGCCCTTCTCTTCCCAATTTGCTTTTGTCCTGAGCAAATCCCCCCAAAACAGTCTCCATCATTACTTCTGGGCCTGCTGCTTCCTGGGGGGCCTGTGTCCCCAGTGCTGCCTCTACACCCAGGTACCCAGAGGCTCCCACGGGCTCCTGCGGACCCAGGCCAGCCCTGCCCCAAGGCCGTCAGTGTCTTCTCTCCTGAGATCACCACGGGGACACCCCCGCCCCCCCCCCCCACCACGACAGCTCTAATGTCTCTGCGGTGAGCTCGGCTCCCGCCAAGGAGCACGGTCAGCGTGCTGACACCACCCCACAGAGCTTGCTGCTGTGGAAGGTGGCGGTGCAAACCCTCAAGGGGAGCTCTTCCTCCACACCTCCGAAAGGCCCACTGCAGAACCGGCTCCCACGAACACGGGAGCAGAACGCCCTCTACCTTCCAGAACTGCTGAGGGCTTTCTTCAGAGTATGCTTCGTGGGCGAGAAGGCCTCGGGCCCCGCGACCCGCAGTTCCCTGCGCGTGGAAGGAGCACCGCCCGGCCAGGAAGCAGAAAGGCCGGGCGGCAGTGAGGCGGGGCCGGGACACGGGGGGAGGCCGGTGGGCTCCGGGCCGACCTGAGAGCGTTGGCGACGTGCCGGGGTTCACGCTGTGGAACCGGGCTCGCAAGCTCTAAGTCAGGAGGCAGGGAGGGGGCGGCTTCGCGCTGGCTACCCTAATATGCCGCCGGGGACTTTCAGCCAAGTCCTTGGGGATGGCTGCTGCCACCACACGACTACTCTCTAATCGAACAAAACGTAACCACTGGAAACAGAAATCTTTCCTCTTCTCTTCCTTTGGGCCTTTGGACATGGATCCACACGTCTCTTGACAGGAACCACATTTAATCTGAGAGAGAGCTCACTCTGTCAAGAATAAGCACGGAGAAAAACAATGTGGTAAAGATTTAATAGTTCAAAAGCAGGAGACCCATCTGAGAGGTTGGAAGACCTGCTCCTCAATGGAGCAGAGTTACTGCAAGAAGCAGCAGGGAGGTTAAGAAAATGTCTGTTAATATCCACTTATCAGAAAACACCAGCCAGTCATGAAAAGGGAGTACTTCAAATCAAGAAAACATTTACTGGTGATGAAAAACAATGCCATATTTTAAAAATGAGGCATAGACAGTCAATGGCAGGTTCCATATTGTTGATGAATGGGGAGAACATAAAGATATGTTTAGATATGTAAGAATCCCAAGCCCACCACTTGAAAAAAATTAGCCAATCAAGTATCTAGTTGATTGGGAAATCAATATAAGTAAATAACTCAAGAATGGAGAATTAAAAAATGGTAGTGAGCAACTAAAGCACATAAATTTACAGCTAGGTCTAGTTTTTCATTATTAATTCAACAAACCTAAGGCAATTGTTTAAGAAGTAGTTACTGGTATACACACACACATTTGGGTCAGCAGAGAGGTAGACGATGCTACACTTACCATAACTGATGAGAGGGATGTAATAGATCAGTTCATTTTTCAAATTGTTACTATAGGAATAATGGTTCACTTACATATAAAGTTGTAAACATAGAGATGATTTATAAAAATGTAAAGATAATTTTCATTAAGACATAGCTTCCAAATCACTGAACAGAAAAATAACAATAAAAAAATCAATAGGAATCCAGCTAAGATGGAGTAACAGAGACCATATTTACCATCCTGCCTAAAGCACCCCCAAAATGGATAAAATACATGAAAGAATGACGTTTAAGACACCTGAAAATGATCATCCAGGAGGGCACAAGAAAGCTTCCTTGTCTTACCACCCACCCCAAAGCTAAGACGAATACCTCTTACTGCCGCTACTAAAGATGACCACCAGGAGGCGACATTTCCTTTCTCTGCTTCCACTTTGCAGCAACCTGCCCAGCGGTACTCCCATTTTCTGGCAGATAGACCCTAGCAGTTCTGTCATAGAACTCGGCCTCTTTGTCACCAGCAAAAGGGTCAAGGATGAACAGTGAGCCTCCTGACTTATCTAAGACTTAAGAACCTGATTTCTGAGCAGCCCTTAACACTTTCCTAACATCCAGTACTCTGCCGGGTTCCCAGAGTGCCCATCTTTTGGGGAGCCTGCCCACTGACCCCAGCTCACTGAGGTCTGTTTTCTCGTGGCCTAGAGGCCACGAACGATAGTGCTTGGGCTGAATCCTGATCCTGTGCCCTTGGATAAGCCCCTTAACATCTCTAAACTTCTGTTCCCTCTTCTGCAAAATGAGGAAATAATCAGTATGGAAAATCAGAATTGGGGGGACTAGTTTTTGGTGATTTAAAATTATTTTAATTTTTGATTGTACAGTGAGGGATACCATAAAATTTTCACTCCTTCGGGATTCTAAAGGTCAGCTTCTACTATTCTTATAATTAATGCATGCACCTGCACACAAACACATGCACAGACTCTCCCTCTCTCTCTCTTACTCACCCTTGGCTTCATTTTAAATGAATTTAAAATTGATTATCTCAGCTTCCATTGTTTTATCTGCTCAAAAGATCCTGCCTTAGCCAGCAGGAGTCTCTCCTCTCTCGAGGTGGATCTTTGCCTCTACCACCTCAGCCCGTCACAAAGGTCACCCCTGACCAACATAAGCACTCTGGCCTTTGGGAAGTGCAGGCCCAGAGTATACGTGGAAGCTCTCCTACTATAAACACTGAAAAGTTTTAAATCAAGCTAAACATTTTAAGTTAAATATGTTCTATTCTCCTACCTTTACAAATATACACTCAGAATGAGGTCGAAGGCCATGTTCAAATTTAGAATTCTCAGAATTGGAATTCTGCAGAGGAAAACGGTAGTGTGGGAAGAGCTACTCCCCCAGTCTCTATTAGCCTGAGGCCTGTTACCCTTCTTTTCCAAACGCTGGATCCATCCCTTGCCACAAGGTGGCCTTGTAGACACACGTGTGGACACCTGGACCTCATGTCCAGGCTCTGTCCATAACCCCCCAAGCAAACAGATGCCCTCTGGCCACACTGTGAGTCCTTGGGGGATATGAACTCTGTAAAGAACGTGTGCAGACACTAGGGCAGGGCATTCTGGGGTCCTGGATAGCAAGAGCATGGGGTAGCACCAGGCGGGCTCGTCGCCTTGGCCTTGCTGGCTCCACCCCCACGGAGGGTGCAGCTAGACAAAAGTGTCAGGGCAGGACCCTCTGTAGTGCCGGACTCGGGGCCCGGGCCCCTCTTGCTCAGATCTAAGGCCAGTATCGCTGCCCAGAGTCCTAGGGAAGGACCAGGAAGGCAATACAATATCCATATTCCCATTAACCGTAAAATGAATACTCACCACGGGCTTGGGTGAGAAGTGTTTTAACAAGGGAAGACAAAGAATACTTGACAAGATCTGGCCTAAGGTGGCTGCTTGGTTTACCAGGCTAATGAGGGCTGAAAGAAACCAAGCTGTCTTTAGCCTTGCCTGGATCTAAACACTGCATGAGCTCCTTCCGGTGACTCCCAAATGCAGTGAGACAGGAACCCTCTCCCGGCGTCGAAAGCACTCCCATTGCCTCCCTCTCACTCTCGGCTACTGAAACGTGGTGAATACAGACAGGAAACAGCACTGGATTGTTGATGAGTTCACTACCCATCTGCCTCTCCCCTTTGTAGGGCCAGAAACCTGACTTTATCAGATCACCCAGAGGTGATCCGGCTCAGGATTATAGCTTATTTTCCACAGATTGCATTTTCGGGTGATTACTTCCTGGTGACGCGTAGGGAGGCACCTTCATCTTATCCTTCAGGCATCTCGCAAACACAGGCTCCTTCTGGGAGAACACTGGCGGCCGCCAACCCCGGCCTCTGCCTCTCCATGCTCACTGGTGCCCCCAGCAGGAGTGGCATCTGCTGACCTGGCCACCAGCTTGGGCCTGCAGCCTCCCTGTGTCGTCTATAAACATCACCCATGACACCCACAGCTCAGCCTAGGAGACATGCCTAATTTCTTCCCATTCATCGTTCAGTCTCCATGGGACCATTTTGACAGAGAGACCAGCATTCCCCTCTTGAGGCCTCCCCCAGCTGCCTCTAGAATTGTCCTAACACCCAGGCTTGGGGGGTTGGGTCTGAAGTGTGGCATTCAAATACTAGGAAGATAACCAGAGAGTAACGTGAACCCATTTCTGCCATTGTGACTGTCACCAAGGCTTGCATGGCTATGGAAATGGATCCCGCATGGTCTGAGGGATGCTTGTCTACAGATGAGTGGTTCTCCAACATTGGCCCAATCCCCGCAGGGATCAAGCTTTGAGGCAGCCACTTGTTC